TTCAGCACGTTTAGTTTATGTTACATTAGAGTACTTGCACTCTTTATCCTAGTACTATTATAAATGTGAAAGTTTGAGGAATTGGATGAAATTTGATACACGGATGGGTCCTCAGAATATAGATTATTTCATCGCGAGCGAGGTCGCGGGATACACTTAGTCCGTATCTATTTCTGTGTTGACCTTGCTGTCTTTATAGTAGATAGTTAATCTGAGATCTCTATTATCAGTTAGTTGATGTAAGCGGACTTGTGCCCAAAGTCGAAAACAAACTTGTACCCTCTTGTGTCACAGTTTTGAAAGGACCATGGTGAAGTTAAGCAGACAGCCGTCACTGTTTGGAAAATATAGTCAATAATCATCTCTATAATTAATGTAAAATCATAGAATGGGAATTTACATTTAATGAAATATCATATTTATCATCATTAAAATATTAGCCGTTAATCACACATGCCGTCCAATGCACAGGTCCTCTTATTTATGTCTTTTGCATGTAGTCATTGATATCTTAATATTAATATATTACAATATTAAATTGTTTTATTAGAAATAAATCTCTATAATGGTGTAGTTGCAAACACATGTAGAGTATAATACTCCATGTGCCCACATTTCACCGAGAATAATATAGTTTAACAGCAAGGAGGGTCTCACAGGATTAATTGATTTGTTAACAGCATTTTACATTACAGTAGTGATAGAAAAAAAAAATCCACACAAACTTGTTATGACACAAAATATATAAATCTTACTTTATTAAGTTAATTAAACTCTTTAATAAATTCTTGTGAAAGGACACAAAGAAATAGTTGATTACAACTTCAGTACGAATAGATTTATGAGACGTAATTTAAGAAAAAAAGAAAGAAAAATTTCAGCTAGGTACTTTACGGAGAAGACAGAGTGAAGGCTTATAACTGTTACTGAAAGTGAAGTAGTTAGAGATATTTATAGATAGTAAGCGTTTATTAATATACGTAACATTAATATAATAATTCAAATAAAATGTAGGTAATATTGTATTTATTTATTTGTTCTTGTGTAGTAATGGACTAAGAATAAAATATGTAATTGCTTCTGTTTCTCCCTAGGGTATTATGTACAGAGTACCGAGATAATTTAGAGAACGAAATATTGTATATCAGTGCAAGATACGGAAAAGTGATGATAATAACGTATACCAAGCCACCTGGCCAGTGGGCTTGTACAGTAATAATAAGCTTATATCCTCCTTTTACGAGAAGAGGGCCATAGCTTACAGTAGTATAATAGCAGGTCTTTATTGTATAATATTGGAATTTGGAATTCACTTGATAATTGCAATCATTAGAAGAAACCTATTTAAACAGACAGGTTTTTTAATGATAGACTTAGTATTTTATATAAGTTGCTAAGACTGTTTTCCAAATGATAAAAACTATACATAAATAAAGACATTTTCTTTGGTAATAATTGTACATCCACAAAAGATTCTGTATGTAAGCATTTATTTAGAACGAATTTGTATTTAATAAAATAGGTGTTATTTTTAAATAACACCTATTTTACACTCAAGTATATCTAATTAAGTTTCTCGTTTATAATATTAAAAACAATTTAAAATCATAATTTGATGATAGTATAATTAGAAATAATTGTGTATATATATATATATATATATATATATATATATATATATATATATATATATTACATATATATAAACCATTAAAAAACAGAGATTATCTATGGTCGTGGTTTACATATTAAATGCATACATATATTATGAAATGTGTTTGTTACATATATTACATTATTATCCCAAAATGCGTTACACAGCAGCGTCAGTTACGCGACACAATAATAAGGTATATTTATCAAACGCATTGCTTAGCTACCGAGTGCTATATCTTGATTTACGTGGACCGTTCCGCTTGCAAATTATTGCCAGCTCGATCCGTACACCTGGTGTAGCTATATTTAATATTATGCTCTCTTTGTTTAATGCATATGATAAATATATTAATACAATAATATATCTGATTTTGTAATTCGAAATACAGTTATCTATATCCCAGGTGTAAGGTTAGAATGTGAAATTTGTATAAGTATTTAAGTATTTTTTTTATTTATGATATCTAAAGAGATAATTTAAAAGTAATAGATTTGAGTAAAATTTGGAATATAGTTAATGAAACAACAAAATAATAATCTTCCAGCAGAAGTATTTTCGAACCGATATTACATCGTAAATTAAAAAAAAAGATATTCTTTTTCAAAAGGCCGAATGCACAGTTGCAATTACTCTAATGTTACGGGTGCTTATGGGTGACTGTACTAACTTATCATTAGGCGAACCGCATACTCGTATGAAGCCTGTGTTGTTAAAAGAAACTACACGAAACATTCATCATCATCACCATATCAGCCTTTATCGGTTGAATATAAGCTTCCTTCTTGGAGGGGATTGCCCGTAGTCGTCGCGCTTAGCAGATGTTTGAAGATGGATGCTGCTGCCTATCTCTTGTCTTTCCTTAGTCGTTTACGACACTTACGGGAAAGGAAGGGTGGCCTATTCTATGTCGGCATATGTAAATGAAACATTATAAAGTAATAAATATGTTGAAATAAATAAATATCATCAATAATAAATTTAAAAAAAAGTATGCGATTTTATTTTTATTTATGGAAAAGCTTACCAATTATATATGTTATACCTATAATAGTTAATAATTTGTTCTATAAATATAACCATGTTGATTGAAGTAAAAGCTTACTGAAATATATTTTCCATCGAATAGAAATGTTCTATTTAAAGGTTTGATGTTATCTGTAGCACCGTAACCGTACTACTGGGGTTCGATTATTGTCTACTGATATTCATAATTTATTGTACTGAGCAACGTTATATGATAATTGGGAATATATTTTAAGAGCATAATAGCAATGAGAATCGATATCCATTTTATGTCAATAATTATAATTTCAACTGTTCATTATAAAACGATTTTCAGCTGCCTTGAGAATTGTAAGAGTTAATTTACATAGCAGTAAGTACAGTGCTTCTATCGAATCTAATGCTATTTATTTAAATTTTATTATAATAAAAAGAGAAGTATGCAACAAAGGAAAATATATAATAAATTACAGAATTAAATAAAATTTTCTAATATTAGAAGCATAATCTGCGTCGAGTTTGATATTAACTCAGAATTTCATAATAAAATTTGAAATGCATTGTGAATTATATATTTTTTTTCGATGTAACCAAATGGAAATAACAAAAAGATAAATCCATCTTTTATAGCATCAGATCAAACCTATTAAACATAATCTCCTCTGAGTTAGCTATTAACTGAAAATTTCAACCATTTAATCTGGTTTGTATATCGTTTCAAAGTCTACGAAAGATTTGAATAAGCCGAGATATTCAGCGTATGAAATCTTTGAATATTCTCTCACAACTCTGGTCGCCATAATTCCTTTATGGCTATGAACAATAGCGCCGGCAGTTCAAACAATGGAGCTTAAATGGTAACACGTGGAGATTACGCTGTTTAGAAAAGCGTGACAAACTTCATTCGCAATTATTGTGCGTAACTTCTTAGCAATTTGAAACAATTATCTTATTCACTAATTTATATCTAGGCATTTACTATATAACTTAGATTTCATTCCATAAAACATCTTAAAATGTAAAAAAATGAATTTATTTCACACAAATATAACGGTTTCAATTTAGACGTAATAGACATGTGACCAACAAGGCAGTAAATTAAGATCAGAATTAGTACCGAATTGGCGAAGAACTGGAGTTATTTTTACTGATACTGCAAAATAATTTTATTTGATTGAATCCATCATTACAATCCAATCAGGTTTGTATCACAATCGGATAATGAATTCAAACAATTTAACGGCAGAAGCGTGGGTTCCTATCTAACCTACTCGAATTATTAATATTTTTCTCTGATGCATAATACGGGTATTATCAGCTACTTTTACTATTATATTAAATCTTCTGTAACATTTATAGAATAGTATTAATGAGAGAGAAGATATTCAATTATTAAAATAAGTAATAACTATCTATCTATTTAGTTACATTTTATACAAGGCGAAATGAATGAACATTTTTTTCAGGGAAATACTAGTCGAAAAATGACATAAAATTCCCTACTAACTCGATTGCTAGATGAATTGTGTCACTATGGGAGCTCATTTTTTTTATAGAATACACCGTTAAAAGAATTTCAATGATTTCGATATTACCCTCTATATAAACGAGAAATAAAGAGTAATCGAATTACTTATTTGACATTTGACTAGGTTTTATAAAGGCATGGTCACAAGTAACTGAAGTACCTACAGCGAAGTTGTTGTTTAACTACCGTAATCAGAAAGAGGTGACGAACATATTTTTTATACTATAAAAAAGGCAAATAAGCATACGGCCATTCTAATTGTAAACGGTCAGTGTTTCCTATGTCGATCCTAAAGAAACCCTGAATATTAGCAGTCATCTGTGCATTCCTAAACTTCCCCTGAGGAGGGTTTTGCCAGTAGCTGCCACTCTTGGCAGGCGGGTTGGCGACTGCTGACTATTAATTTTACTATGTTTTTTTATACAACTTAGAATGGCAAACAACCTGATGGCCCTCCTGATGGAAATTGGTAACCGTCGCCTATAGACATGAGCAGTACCATGGACATAACAGAGTATACTGTTTCGCCCATGATACCCCCCATGCGTTGTCGTTCCTGAGGACTCAGGTGTTATTCCTCCGTATCCAGTAAATTCACGCCAAAGTCTAAGTTGCCTGTTACAATACTCATGGGAAAGAAAGGGGTGACCTACCTTATTACATCCTTTTTGAAGAACCCTTTAATTGTTAACGGGTTCTTCGCACTACATAAGCGTACACTAAGCGTACATAAGCCTTATGGTTTTAATAATTACGTTTTAAAATTATTTGTCATACAATGTGATTTTTGAAATGTTTGCTTTATTGTTCCAGGCGGTCAAGCGCGGGGTTGTTGGCACCTCAGCTGACGTGCCAGACCACATCACCAGCACCAGCGTCCGCGCCGCCCCACCCCGCGCCGTCGTCTCCGCCACGAGTCGTCTCCGCGCCGCCCGCCCCCCTTTCCCATCCGCCACCAGAGGCCGTACCCCAACCTGACCAAGAAGATGGAGTCAGATTACGCCGAGCCCATACAGTACGGGACTATCTTAAGAGAGAGACGAAGACTTTTTTCGGTATGCAGAAGGATAATGAAAGGGAACAAAGGCGGCTATGGAACGACAGACGGCGGAGGCATGCGTCGAGAGCGTTCGGCGGGCTTCGGCTTGATCTGTCAGCGGATCATCATCCTGATGACGATGATATTAGGTGAGTTTCTCCATCATTAATAAACCATACTATAACAAATCAAGCTTGACACTAATCTCTTTTCGTAAGAAGATGATATCTTGTGGTTAAGGGGCTTGGTACAAAGCTTCATTTCGATGAAAAAAAAAATGAAAAAATGAGAAGAAGAAAAGGTGGTTAGACTATTTGAAAGATAATTGTCATACATAAATAAAATTTAATGATAACTTCTAACAATGATATTAGATATACGGATGGATTATAAACCTGGATTAACACATACATTGTTACAAGTCTCGTGGGTAAAGTTACGGAATAAATAAAATAAAGCTAAGAATCATCATGTGGCTATGGAGTCAATGCATCGTGCCAGTAAACAAAATTTTGAATGAATTTTGATACAGAGATAAATTATGTATATTTGAAATTAATAGGATAGGATGCACTAGATAGCTATTATCTTAATTAACGTGGTTAATGCTGGCAGATACGGCTGGCGAACAAAAAAAAAAATACTTCGAAAATTATTTAATAACAAACAAAATTATTGGACGGCAATATACAGAACAAATTTGCACCATTCGGCTGAATAATAATGTTAATTTTACATCCGAGTTAATGATATGAATCATTCATGTTTCAACACTTCATAGTTTTTCAATTGTTGCCATAAATGTTGAACATTCATTTTGTTATTTATTTTGATTTTAAGTTTTTGTGTAATTGAATAATATTATATCTTACTATTTATCAGAAGAGAGATAGATTGTATAAAAGTTGTTTGTGTAGGTACTTATGTCATATTCGTATTGTTTTTTATTTGTACCTTAAAATGTCAAAGAAGTGGTAAAAGTTGCTAATAGATATGAAATGCACTGTGGATAATATAATACTCTGTAACACTCATGCCATGTAATTTCGTTTGTTTCGTTTCTTTATTTTAATAAAATTATAACAACGAGTAGTATTATAAATTTAAAAGTGTCTTTGTTACATTTTAGCTTCTTAACGGTTTAAACAATAGTCACAAAATTTAGTGTATTAGAATGGACTACTGGAACAGAACATGGATTGCTTTTTATTTCAGTCAATATATCCTTGTAAAACGGACGACGTCGTGAATAAAAACTAGTACAAGAATATATATATATATATATATATATATTTTAAAATTTTATTTAAAAAAAATATATTACAACAGGTATATATAATATCGTGACTTGAATTAAATATATTTTGACATCAAAGTAATTTGACAATTATCTTTAAAAATTTGTGCTATTTGGTTGTTATAATTAAATTGATAAGAGATATTTGATTTTATCAATGTATAACAACAATAATGATATCATTAATGATCGATAATTTGATATAATATGACCCCTGTTATCTAATTTGTTTGATTATAAGCCCATTTACTACAATCAATTTGTTTAGATTAAAATTAATGATAAAGTATTTAATATGTATATGACTGGAAATTGATTAATTGTGTGTGATTGGTTCTACTTAGCGTTAAAAAAAAAATAAAAAAATATAAATACTATTGAGGTCAGAAGGGAGAAAATGTTGGGGCATAGTTACAAAAGGCAGATCAAGGAAAAAGTTGGTGTTATGTTGTATAATGAGGTAAAGAGGCTCGCTGAAAACCGTATTTCTGTTGCTAAGCTGTGCTTAAATGACTATGACTTGATTTTTAATAGGTCTCCCTCTATGGTAGAAAAATTACAAGGTACACCTTAGTAGGTGTTATGCTTTCGCTATCACAGAAGGACAGACTGAGTTAGTCAGTTTTTTTTATACACCTTAGAATGGCAAACAAGCTGACGGCCCACCTGATGGAAAGTTGTAACCGTCGTCTATAGACATGAGCAGTACCATGGACATAACAGAGTATACTGTTTCGCCCATGATACCCCCCATGCGTTGCCATTCCTGAGGAGTAAGGCGTTATTCCTCTGTACCCAGTAAATTCACATCTAGTTAGTCCTTCTGTAATATTCGTGGTGCTATTGTTGTTAATAGATGAAGGTTACCGTGTGTCTGATGAGTTATCAACTTGTTTGTCATACTATACTATATAAAGAAAATATACATATAAATTTTATAAGTCAGTTCTAATATTTATTACTCTTGAACATTTTATCAGGTACAAAAAAAACAAAAGTATGAATGAATTAATGAAAGCTTTTTATTGTTCCCTTTAAAGAACGATACCTACAGATTATAAACTTTAACAATATGTGCACAAATAAAGTGAATAATTAATTATATAAACTTTTATTATAAGTATTATAATTTTAAACTCAAATAATCACAAATTTTATAATAACAAAATAGGTAATGAAACTTTTTGGTAAATATGCCTTTAGAAAAGTTATGACACTAAAACTATAAACAAATCAGATATAATTAATAAAAAGATAATCATCATATCTTATTAATATATCAAAATTTTAACTGGTCGATGTCTATACATGGTTGTTATTCAAGAAAAATTATTATGAGATGTCTTAATAAGAGAAATAGAAGCCAAACCAATATTTTTAGAATTGTCTGTCTCTCTGTATGTTTGTTTTGTCATCACAAGAAAACTACTACACCAAATTAAATGCAGTTTTCACAGTTGATTCCTGAAGGTCTTAAAACCTGGTATACGTTTTATCTTAACACGTTACCTATAAGTGGCTTACTTCGCAGGCTGTCCTACTTATGATATCCACGCATCCGAAGTAGCAGGCATAAAGCATATATATAAATAAATAAATACTATCTTCTACTTATAAAGCTTACTAAGTGAAAACTTATGTAGATAGGTATGTGAATAGGTTTAGTTTCATCACTTCTTGTTTTGGGACTAGGTAACTTTACCTCGGAAAATTGGGTACTTCGACCCTTCAATGATAATCAATCAGGCAATACCTTTATTCTTCCTTTTGGGAAATAGTAAAGTGAGTATAAATAAATTAGAATGGAAAATGGTTATTTATCTGACAACCTAATATGCGCCAAATATAATTCTTTATGAATTCATCATGATGGGCTAACTGGCCTGTTTTCATTCTCATCTATCACCCTTCACTGGTGCTCCGCCAGCGTATCCCGTTAGCGCAGGCGGGGTTACCAGACCATTTTCAACCAACAAAAAAAATGCGCAAAATAAATTTAAATATACTACAATAAAAATAATAATTTGATATTAATTAAATATAAATTTTCATTAAAATATTATTAATTATAATATATAAGTATATTTTTAATAATGTAAAATTTGCATTGCATTAAATAATCATTATTTATTAATTAACATGATATAGCATACGAGTATATTACTGTGTAATTTGATTTTCTATGGAGATTAGTTATATATTCTGTATATTTATATCTTAGTAGATTTATTCTTTAAATAATGTAAATAAATGTAATTATTTATATTTATAATATTTATCGATGGAATAATTATATAAAGAACTGTAGTAATACAAGTGAGTACACTCGAACCAAACCCAAAATTTTCTTAATTTAAAATTTAATAGTAAATTGAATATAAATAAATTGGAATGTAATATAAGCTTTTCACTTAACAATATAATACGCATAAAATAAAATAAAATTTAAGTTACAGAAACTAGTATAATAATAAATTTCTTTAATTATACAAGTAAACTAAAATGCAAAATCAAATAAAGTATAAAATAATAATAATTGAATACCAATTAATTTTATTTTTAAACAAAATATTACACATATCCATTTCGAGTTTATGAGACTATAAATAAAATCATTTCCCAAGCAAAGACAATATCACTGTAGCTCTAACGTCGCGGCATAAAAGAATCGTCAGACAATAACGTTTTATAAGTGTTCTATGCAGTTTTTATAACACAAAGGAGAATGGAAATTTTAAATTTACACATTTGACTGTTTGTTGAGTGCAGAGGGAACACATGTTTCATATTGGATTTTTCTGAAACAGTTTTATAAAACAAATTGTCGTGTCGGCGACTTTGTCTATGTGGTAGTTGAAGTTGAATAAATTCATGATAACTATATCATAACAACCAATTATCGTTCCATTACTAGACTCGGGCTTTACCTTATTGGAGTAGCACATTAGCTCACTATTATTATTATGATAGTCAGTGGCTTATTATAGGGGTTTCCTTACAGCGAAACATTACATTTTAGTCTTTCAGTTACCTCTTATGAGGTACTGAGAATAAAGAGGAATAGTGTTCAGGATAATAATAATAATAAACTTTTTATTGCGCACAGTAGAGATGTATACAAGGAGTATTTATACAGAATGTGCATATACAAAAGGCGGCCTTATCGCTAAAAGCAATCTCTTACAAACAACCTGGCATAAATAATGGATAAGTACAGAGAGAAAGGTAGATGGCGCAAGTCAGACACAGTAAATACATAAAAGAAATCAAACAAAATGCAAAATATTCTAAATATAAAAATAAGATTACAATATATAAACATACATATATAATATAACTAATAATACATAAACATAAATGCATTAATATACTAAATAGATCAAGGTAAATCACACATAGTAAACGTCAAAGCAAATTAGATAGGTAATGAGATTTTACTTGCCTCTTGAACAAGGCAAGAGATTGTGCTGATCTAATAGAAAAAGGTAAGGAATTCCAGAGACAGATAGCTTGGATAGTGAAAGAATAGGAATAGAATTTAGAAGAATGAATAGGAGTTACTAAACGAAGGGATCTCGCGCTGCGCAGTGTATGACCCTGAGAATCGACATAAAACTCAAAGCACATTTTGAGGTAATCGGAAGTTGAAGGATGGAAAAGAATGGTGTAAAGAAGAGATAGGATGTGCCAGTTCCTGCGAAGGCGAATTGGAAGCCACTTAGTCACTGTTTCTTGGGAACACGTTTCTAAAACTATTTTTTTCCCATAATGTTGACTTATATTAATTCTTATATTTATATTTACATTATACAAGTAACATCTCCGATTAATTTTTTTTAATTTTCTGTTCATATTTAAAACTAGTAAAGTTTTTAACCATGACTTCAGCAGATAAAATTTCTAAAGATTATTTATTTGGTTTTTGATGCTCTTATTAAGACATATCATATCAATCATATCGTTCAGTTACAATTTTTAAAATATATTAATAAAATAAGATGATTGTCTTAAGTATTATTTATACAATCCTTGTATTTACATTTGCAAACACAACAAAAAAAAAATTAGCCAAATAGATACAGCGGTTTTAAAGTGAAGTCTATAAATATATTCAGTAATTGATTGTTATTTATATAGATTATTGGGTAGTATAATTTTTATAGTATGGGTAAAAATAGAAAAACAACAGAGTTTTACTATTCTAACATTAGTTGATATTAGATACATATCAAATACGTTAATAGTTTTAGTCACATACGAAGCCTTGTTACGAATAACCTTTGACCTATTTTCGTTCTACTTAGACTTGCTTTCTCTGATTACGAGTATAACAAAGTCGACTTTGTCCTTATTTACTACATTTAAGAGATCATCTTTATTAAGACTTGTAGCATTGTAATCTTTCCTTATAACATATAAACTATAATATGTTAAAGTAATGCCCACTTAAAAAATACTTTATGTAATAATCAAATATCTCTTGTTAGTTATAGGGTAATTTTTATGCTTAAACTTAGAATGTATAAACAGCTGGTGGCACTCCTAATGGAAAGTAAGGGTAGATAATAATGGCAATGTCTGTATATTATAGTTATAATATCTATATATTGGCCAAATAACGAATATAATAAACATCGGTTATGAAAATGGATATTATATTACTGATATATGCTATATCGGAATGAGTGATAATATTTTTTCATAATAAATGCTCAGAGAAACCCAGTATTTAGATATCGCTGCGGTACAGACTACCTAAGCTTAATAGAAAGTAGCATCTATTACCTATGAATATGCATTATTATTTAAAATATAAGGGGATTAAGAAAGTATCTTTATACACTATAATTTAAAAGCTATATTTAAACCGAAATCCAGCCATGCAAGCATAGCTGCTTGGCGTTATAGACATGCAGGCGCCCTTTGTAGAAAGTCTGCCTTTGATAAAGCTACTTAGGTAGCTTGTCATGTAGACTATTAACACTCTCGCAAATAACAAGACGATATTCTAGTTATTACAATTTATGAAGTAAAGCTGGTAGTTTTGAAAAATATTACTTTCTGTCTACGAAGTTCTTTAACACAAAGAGATTCGCATCTAGTGTTGTAATTTTAGCTTACAAAAATCTATTCTATTATTTTTTCTTTGTAATCACGATCACTCCTTTCGTTTGCATTTAGGTAAAATAAACATTCTACACATGTGCATTAAAATTATTATAAATTTAAAGAAAAATTAACGTGACTGTTTGTTAAGATGTATGAATGGATGTTTAATATTTTTTTTACATAAAAACTATTGAAGGAATTTAAAGAAATTTGGTACACGGAGAGGTTATATTCAAACTTAAAATAACATGCGTGAATAAGTATTAAAATATACTGATTTAGACTAGCAAAACCGCAACATACAGCTAGTCCTTTCTAATATTATAAATGTGGAAGTAATTATGATGACCTTAATCTACTAACCACAATTAAATTTAGTAAGTACTATATATGATAGAGAAGCACATTGACTTTATACCGGTCAGTAAACATATCCCGTTCACGCCGACGAAGTCACGGGTAAAAGCTAATTGTTAATAAATACAAAAAAATAATAGTATTATAATTTGTTGACACAGTATGTATGGAGCATCGGGTGCAGCACCAAGGGAGGCGCGGGGGCGGGCGCGCGAGCGGCCCGACGTGCTGCCCGCGCCGGCTTCGCTCGACGAGCCCTCAACGCCGATCCGACCGCTTCCCGGGAAGGACAGCGTTGCACGGCTCACACTTACTGGCATCTCTTATGTTGTTACTGTAAGTATCTGTATAATTGTTTAAATAACCTATATATAATCTGTTTTGATAGAACTGTACAAATATTAAGCGGTTTCAAAGGAATTTTCTCTCGCGAACGCTCAAGTTGTGGAATGAGCTTCCTGCCGAGGTTTTCCCTAGAGACTACAGTACGGGTTCTTCAAAAAGGATATATTAAGGTTTCTTTAGGGTCGACAATATTAATAATACCTCAAATTATTTTCTATAAAAAACGACTTTTATTTTGACAAAATAAGTATGAGATCTTCATGGGAGAAAACCTTATTAATTAAAAGTAAAGCTATCAAAATCGGTTCCCATTTTAAAACTTCTATTTTTTTAAGTTTTTTTTTATACAACTTAGAATGGCAAGCAAGCTAACGGCCCACCTGATGGAAAGTGGTAACCGTCGCCTATAGATATGAGCAGTACCATGGACATAACAGAGTATACTCTTTCGCCCATGATACTCCCCATGCGTTGCCATTCCTGAGGACTCGGGTGTTATTTCTCTGTATCCTGTAAATTCACGCCATATCCCATCCTTCAAACCGAAACACAGCCATGCAAACACTGCTTCACGGTTGAAAAATGGCTTAGAAGTAAACTATGCACCAGTTTCATTTGAAAAAACGGAATATTAAAATTGTTTATATAGGTGTTTTCAATATGAAATATAAATTAACGAAATGTTTGCAATATTAATAAAATATGTACATTGCATAATACGACTAGTAGTTCAGACATTAAGTAGTTTAGAAACTACAGTTTATCTGCTCCCGACAAAGACTATCATGGCCACAGGTGGCATAGTTAGCTACTAACCTAGTTTCTCATGTTATATAAGCATTTAAAAGTTCTGTAAATATTCTACGAAGTTATCTTGCTATTTTAACTAAACTCTGCGCGCTTTGGACTAGTGCAAATTTATACCACTGTTGTTAGATGCTTTTATGCCTTGTCAAATTTCAAATATTTTATCTTTAAATAAATACGATTTTCTTTATTTTATCCATTTACAAACATTTGTTTTCATTTTACTAAGTAACCTCTATGACGAGTGACGAAATAAACTTCTCTTTACGCTGGCCTTTTAATGTTATTGTGCTACTTTCAATAACAATAAATTTTTCTATATGTTTTACAAATAACAAAATATTTCGACACATAGTCTAAAATTCTTCACCTCAAATTTTTCTACAAAAATTCCAATTCCATATTTTTTACATTATATTGCGAAAAATATCCATTCTGGTAAAACTGATTCGTACTAACGATAAGTTCACGTGTAGAAGAGGGCTTTCCCTCAAGCGTGCTTCATATAAAACGATACCTTCGTTTATCGTGTATAATAACTAAGCAAACTCGGCGATACTTTGTTAATTACATTTCAGATTTGTCAATTTTTATTTTTAGAAACAAGAAAGTTTTTTTTTGTGGTTAGTATAAAATAATAAAAGAAGTTTTACAATATTACAAATATTTTTATAATTACCTATGGGGGTGACATATTCAAATAAGAATAAACCCCTCTAAATAAAGAAAAAAAAATTATCTATAAGAATGAATTTTATTCTTGGTACCATATCGGCTCAATCAATTGTCTTGAGAGTTAGTATACAACTATATATCTACTATTTAAGATAGCGTTAAGATTTCACTGCATTATCCCACGCTGCAAATTGAATTATAGTTACGCAATCACAGCTATCTGGTGCTTGGAAACAAATCTAAATATTAAACAATTACTTAGCAAAAACTTGGACAATACTGAGGAATTTAGCAGTTATTTAGTTCTTGAGGTGTTTGTATATTAAAAAGTTACCCTAATTAACAACGTGGACAAGCTTTTAGGATTATAATGAGTTAATTATCATAAACTAAAGAGCATTATGTTATTTAGAAGAAAAGTTGGAAAGGAAAATTTTTTTATATAAAATAATGATTCAAAATATTTATTTCACGAAGCCTAATATCGAATAAGGCTATTTAAAAACATTTTTAAAAAACAAGTTTTAATATAACCTTTAGGCTTTAATATTAGACTATGAAGGCTACACAGTGTCATAGTTTTTCTTAAGACAAATAAAATGAGCCCAAACAAAACGGATTTATCATGAGTAGTTCACGAAATTCTTTGGCCAGCTTCTGTCTTCATCGTTAAGACCAGCTTAATGATACGACAATATTTTATTCACTTAATGTGAATACCTATAATAGGCATGTGCTAATGCACATGCCTATTATACATACATACATACAATATTAATATATTGTATTATATTTAATGTTTGTTATATATGTTATAATGCAATATGTTGTTGGTGTTCCTTTTAATAAGTAAATAAATTGCAGTACTATTAAATACCAGAAATGGCTGCAAAATACTGCAAATTTTGAATGGAAAGAATTACATATCGAGGTATAAAAAAGTTTATAGTAAAAATGCTATGGAGGCAAACCACGTAGATGATTTCAAGATGTGATGTGTAAATGCATCGATTTAAGAAAGAATGGAGAGTATTTATTGCTAGTATATACAGAAAAAATATATCTCCCCCATTCTATTAATTTTTACACTGTCGTATTTTATATATTATCGTATTTTGCCTAACAGTGGGACTATATCCTTACTAATATTATAACCACTAATTATCAAGAATTTTGATGTATATGAATTAGAATTAGGACGAAGAAGGAGATTTACTACTTTTTATTTCGGTCAATCAATTAAAAACTAGTAGACTATAAATTATAACAGTACATTAATACTATTATACTGTTCTAATTTACTTATACGTATTTTCGTACACTGATAGACACACGCTGTCCTAGATTAGAATAAAAGATACTTTTTATCGTTAATGCATGAGAATGAAACTGCGCTATAAAGCATAATAAATTAATAATAAAATGAAAAATTAAGTATTAGCGAGAAAAAGCACTTAATGAGCCGACATAGTGCATCCAACTGTTGTGAGTAGAACATTCTCTTTTCGGTTGAAAGTATTCTTGAAACATATTGTGCCAGTGTTCGTTCAAGTTAATGTGGTCGTGCTTTTAAATATTAAAAATTTGTTTAATAATGTAATTCTTTGTTATTTTTAGATAGATTTTCAATTTGCCCATATTTTTTTCTGTGTTATGTGGTATCTTTTTCTATCACCTGATTGTGCTAGCTCTTTTTAAAGTCGATAGAGTTAATTCCTGTATTGATCGCAAATAATTTTTAGCGGAATATTAAATTATTAAATACACAATTTAGTCTGATTTTTAAAAAAAGATACCGGTGGATAAAAAATGTTGAATAATAAAAGTAGCTAGAGAAACAACCAAGAAATCTTACTTATAAATATATAATGTATAAATGTTTATAAAGAAGTATGTTTATTAATCAATGACGTTTAATGGCTAAATGGATTTGAATAAAATTAGGTACACAGTTAGGTTAAACCCTAACGTAATACATAAGATGTTTTATATGCATAAATAATGATTTACGTAGAATTAAAATATCTAGTGAAATATAAAGTTCTTTTTATAAATTGGTTTGAATTGAATTTCGAATCCATTTTAAGCAAGGCAATGTGCCAACATTTTCATCTTAGGGATTAAATAAAAGGTATTGATTAATGATGACAGTTTATGTCTAGATACCTAGTATCTATCAATTTGCCTCTCTATAACTTTATTCAAGGCCTAAGCCGTATTAAGCAGGGAGGGATAACCTATACCTAATCTTTCATGTATTACTACTGCTTTAGAGATATTAATGATTATGCATGGTTACATTAAAGTGATTTGAATGACTGAAGCTACACAAAAGCTTTTCTTATTGAAACCAGAGCGGGGAGCTGCCCACTCCGTCGTCGCACATGTGTAATTTTTCACTTTTATGTAAGATTTTTTAAATATTTTCTTTCATACAAACTTGTCCTTATAATTCCAAACACAATGAAAAGAGCCAGCCAAATAGTGGCAGCCTTTCTGAGGTGATGCGCTTATATACATTCAGCAAATTTTTTTATATACATACTCGTATATGACTACACTTTGATTACACTGTCTTCATTTCTTTTTGTACAAGCGTATTTCTGTTTTTATAATTAGTTAATTGGATAATAATGGTATTAATTGTACAAATATCCAATTATTTGAGTAATATTTTAGGTAATCCAATGTATAACTGTTTATTATTCCCAATAAAGAGAGAATAAAAACTATATTAACTCTAGTATTACATGCAAGCGTTCTTGTTGTTTAAGAAATGATTAAATATCTCATAAAAGAATTAATTTCTTATTCTTTCATCAAAAATTGTATTTTACTTATTAGTGATTAGTCTACAGACATTAATTCTTTGTTGTCTATATAATATTTTCTATTTTTTTTCAATGTCCTCTACTCAAAGGTTGTCTGGAAGAGATTGCTTAGCGATAAGACCGCCTTTTATTTCTCTTAAATACTCAAAAATATAATATTTACTGTATTTATTATGTTTTAAATAGTGCAATAAAGTGTAAATAAATAAAAATATTCTTTTACCAAAGAGAGACTATATATGGTATAAGACATTTGGATGGGTATTTTTCTACCATTTGTGCTTTTGCAACTAAGAAGTGGTGCTTGCATGCACAGCTATACAAGTACTGAGCACTTTTCTTACACGTGTAATAAATATAACTTGCGGTAAGAAAGGTTTTTGGAAATCACCTATAACGTGATATGACGGATTCGCTTCATTGAAGTTGCGGAGAATAGCTTTTTTTATACGACTTATGTAGAATGTGTAAATGAAAATGGAAAGTGGTAACCGTCGCCTGTAGACATGAGCAGTACCATAGATATAGCAGAGTATACTGTTTCACCCATGATACTCCCCATGCGTTGCCATTCTTGAGGACTCAGGTGTTATACCTCTGTACCCTGTAAATTCATGCCATATCCCACCCTTCAAACCGAAACACAGACATGCAAACATAACTACTTTACGAATGAAACACGAATGGGACAGAGGTACCCAAGCAAACGACTTTTGTACAAAGTCTCCCTCTGGTAAATGGTAGCTAATTTAATTTTTACCCGATTCTGTCTGATAAATCAAGATATATTGATTGATTGTAATAAATAGTAATCTACTTGTACGCCATCATTCCAAATACTACCTATGCGTATAATATACATACATTTTATAATGAGTTGTTGAACTGTTTAAGCATTAAGAGGTTACCAACAAACAGACTCACTTTCACATTAATAACGCTGGTCAGGAATAAGAATATAAAAAAGAACTTATTCATGCTTTTGATTTGATTAAGCAAATTAATGTGATAAACATTAGTATTCTTACTATATACCGAAATTATCCTGCTAAATGTTTGCTTGACCTTTTACCCAAACAGAATAAAAAAAAGATAAGGAAGTTTGTGAAAACGACCTTGCTAAAAGAAAGGGTAAAGTCGAAAATAACGTATTAAATACTAATGGAATACCAGTTAATGAATTCTAGAATGTCTTCATGATGCATATTAGTATTCTTGTAAGTTATTTAATGTATTATTTAAAAAGATATGTACTTGTCTGTTAGTAAAATTAAAGAAATTTACGGAAAACAACCTCAAATTAAATTAAATATAAGGTTTGTCTTACAAAATAAAAAAAGAAGTAATTAAATCGGGACAAAATTATTACGAAACGAACTTGGCAATAATCACTATTGATTGTAAAAGAGTTACCTGGAATATCAGAATCGTGAATCTATAAATTATAATCGAACATAAGATATTAATTTGAAAACGAAGCATTTTCAATATATACCCAAGTATCTACTAGCTTTTACTGGTGACTTTATTCACTTTATGTTGATTAATTGGGAAAAAGTGTAGCCCCGTCTTTCTTCATCCCAAATAGTACGTGAATACGAAATTCCATCACGATACTTTAAGATAACGTCTTAAGCGAAAGGTGTAACAAAAAAACTCATTTTCACATTTATAATATAAGCAAAGAAGTAAATGTACTCGTAATACTCTTTGGTTACATTGTACATATATTTTTTAAACGAGGTCTTTTCAAGAGACTACAACATGGGATTCTTCAAAAAAGAGGTAAAGAGATTTCTTTAGGGTCGGTAACGCCTGCATAATACCCCTGGTATTGCAAGCGTTTATAGGCTACGGAAACCACCTACCGTTTGGTGGGCCGGATGCTTATTTGCCAATTTAGTGGTATAAAAAATATACTTTTTTGTTAAAATTAACTAAAGTCTTAAGTTATATTTTCGTTGTTATATTTTCTCTCAAGCATCTTTAATATTTAGGTAGTAGCAGTAGAACTAGTAGAAAACACCGTCCGGTGTTATGTAAGTCCTACAAATATAACTACATTGAATTTTACTGTGCATTAAAGCTTAAATAAATAAATCTTTGCTTGTTCTATTTAATTCTATTACTTTTACGTAGTAGTACGTTATAAAATGATTTATCATTATCATAGTTTCCATAACAGCTATAATAATTTTCCAAATCGATATACCTCCTGACTTATAAAGTTTAGTATTCGTAAAATCATATCACGCGCTAAGTTGCGGCCACGAACTACGGCGTTCGAGTCGCAGAACTTAGTTCATAAGTAACAAGATTACACCCTGTATTGTATATAAGTCGTGTACGGAATATCATTTGAATTAACATAGACGTGACTTGTTCATCTAATGTTGGCGGAGAGCCTACTGATGGATACGCGAGCGATACCATTGTAATATGCATCACAATGTTTCCCGATGTCAAATTTGTTCATGTTTTTTTTCGTCATATTAAGCCTAATGTAGTTTTAGAGGAGTTTTTTCTCACTAAAATAGGATATATTTCTCTATCATAATACTTTGTCAGGAACAAAGTTTCTTTTAAGAAACAATCTCAAAAAAAATATTAAAAATATATTCATGTTTTTTTTCCTTTCATTCATTTTAAAATTGCAAGTAAAAATTATAACTATAATATTGTAAAATATATATTATCTGTATATTTTATTTCATTAATCTTTAGATGGTTTAGAATAATTTTTATGTATTTGTGAGCAAAGTAATTGTTTTCAAAGCAAAGGAAAATTTTGATAAAATAGTTTCCGAGAAGATAAACAACAATGTTCTTTGATAATTTTAACGTACGTAATATTATCTTTGTCTCCTTTACCGTACATATTACGGTATAATAAATAAATATATAATTCAAAATATATACTCACCGATATTTTTATTGGCAATAAATAAAATATTTGCTGTATCACGCGAAAACCTTTAAAAATTCATCATAATATCCCTAAACGTTCGTCCGCCACGGACAAATTAGACTACTACATTTCCGTCAAATAAATTATAAAAGCGATGTCTTTAGGGATCGACTGGAACGTTATAGCATCATAAATAATGTGCAAAGACGTTTCGTGTTCCGCCAGCAATATCCCCGGAAGGAAATAGCCTACGATGTCGAAATACGTCTGCTTCCGTGGCAGGAAAGCTGATGAAAAGGATTTTTTTGGGTCACCAGAGATTCTGGTATAATTTTTTTAAATTAAAAACGTACGAACGTCATAATGACGTATACTAATATTATGAGATATGTATTTAATTGTTTTTGTTGTCCGTGTCTTGGTTTAAATGTAAACATAAACCAAACCAATGGTTTATGTTCTACATATAATAATAAGTTTCAACGTTATTCACACATTTTACGGAGCAAAAACCATTGAATCGATGGAAACTTTACAAACATCATTAGCCACATTTGTTACGAGTACATATATATATATATATATATATATATATATATATATATATATATATATATATATACACTTATGTCAGGATCAGATCGATTACGTATACTAATCCATTACCCGAAATACCCAGTAGACATTTATTTATCAAAGAAGTAAGGAACACGAGTTGAAGTAGGAAAATATTTGTTTTGTATTCATGTAAATCATAAAATTAGTATTAAAAGATTTAAAGTAAAAAATGCTTCTGTTGTAGTTATGCCTTTATATATTACCAGACCGCGTAATTTGTAAGCTATCCATCAAGATTTCTGTAATTAAAACTTATTATATGTAGATACGTAGTGACTTTGATTAATAAATATTGATGATTATCAACAGGCGGTGACAAGGCGGTCGAGGCAATCAACGTCAGCACAATGGTCACGTTCGTTCCGAGGTAGCGCGACCACGCCGCACGACGACGCTGATTGCGATGATGTTTTCTTTGAGGCATCATCACCGCTCAATCAGCAGCAGCAACATGAAGATGGTGACGTCACTGATGGACCTAAAGGGTAAGAGAAATGATGAATAGAATCAGTACACCATTATAGATATGACTATTATTAGTTTCCCATCTATTAAGGCTCCCTTTCGTGTCGTAAGTGTTTTTAGACCGCATTTTTTGCTTTGCCATCTAAAACTAACAGTAATTTTTAAATGATACAAACCTGAATGTGAAAATTAAGAGATTTAAACTAGGATTTGATCTTAGGACTCCCGGACCGAAGCCAAGCATTGCTTGATTTAGACGTAGACGTAGATAAGTTGTAGACTTTTATTAGATGGATCTCTTTTATAATAATGTTATCTTTTATAATGAGGTAAGTATAATCCCCAGATATGCTTTTGTATAGATGTCGCAATAAATTGTGACAACATTTTGAATTGGAGTTCCTACATGAAATTTATATCGAAAAAAGTTTAGAGCGTTGACGAAAATAATGTTATATGAAAGGGATCGAAAGGGTTTGGGTGCCTAAGGGGGTTTGGCATTAATAAATACCTTTTGTAATATTACGATAAGTTGTTTAATAATGGCACTACTAACCTTTATTGACTAGATAATGCAAGCGTTTCAAATTGTATGAAAATTATGAGTATGTGTATGTGTGTCATTATGTGTACACTGGCATAATTAAGATTATTATTCAAAGGGCTGGCCTCATACAAAAGGATATATACTCTTTGATATAACTTTGTCTATAGCTGTAAGCTCAACATCTGGAGTGGGCATCAGTTCATTCTGGGGGGTTTTTAAGGTGAAAATGGAATGGCAACCTTGTCTGCTTTGACGGTATATGCCGGTAGGGCACCAGTGAAAGTAGCCTATCAAGACGAATTCAATAGGAATTAATCACGATGGTTTCCAGGTGGGACTATGTGGAGGTCGACCTGGTTGGGTATATTGTTAGAAAATAGGTTCTTAGTTTCCATTGCTAACAATCCCTTCTCCCGACGATACTGAGGTGGATGCGGCCCACCCGGTCCCCTCTTAAATACGCCTATGTAATAGAAGGTATATACCTTCTATTACGTCACAAGAATAATTTAGTGAAGGAAAAGTATATTTCGTGCCAAACTCTTGATATTAGCTAGCGAGGAATACGTAAAACTATTCAGATATCCATCTCCATGTTAAGCTCCTTGTATGGGGGCTATAGAGAGGTACCTAATTAACTACATTTTTTGTATTTATAGAAACGGCGAAAGTATGTGTATGATGTTTTTATTTTTCATTTTATATTGTAATTTTTTTTTTTATTATACATGCTTAGAATGTCAAACAAGCTGACTATCCTCCTGGTCGAAAATGGTAACCGTCGCTTATAAATAATATATCACAGAACATATCGTGATGCTATTCCTGAAGTCTTAACTTGCTTTATTTATCTACATTTATGTCTATGGTATAATCGGTTTATCTATTTTTGCTGTTGTAGCAGCATTGGTATACCGTTTACTTTGACTATTATTAAATATTCTACATTCTTGAAGGTTGATAAAATATCAAAGGGGACTTTACGGCCGTATATATAATATTGTTTTAATATATTATAGTCTATGGTATTCCCTTAGTTACGGCCAATCAAATGACGCCTTATTTATATCATCAGATTATATGCATACATGTAATATAAAATTTCTATAGTATACGTATATATCTATGAACAAGGTTTCAGTTCGCTGTCATCATTTTTAAATGATTTAGTAATATTGAACAATTATCAGATAATGCCAATGTTATCATTACATTACAAATGTCAGTACTGATGTTTATAAAGCTTTAAGGCTCTCAGTATTCTGTCTAACGTAGAGGACTTATTTCGTATATAAATAGGTAATCACTTATCAAAATATTACATTAGATTTCACTCTTCAATTGCAGAATACATATAATTATACTAATATAATTTTTTTATACCGTTTTTACTATCAATACGAAAGGCAAAAGGACTAATCCTATACAGCCGTTGTCTTCAGTTAATTACTGGTATTTATTTTTTTCTGTTTTGGTATATCAAAGTTCTTCAAATATTGAAATTACATATGTATATATGAATTTATATGTTACTTTACTTTTTAACAAATTGGATGGAGTACAGGATATTACAATATAATTGACATTATTTTTATAGAAGGCTTAGTGCGGAAACGGGAGTACAATTTAGATTACATTACATTATTTTAATGAATCGATACCGATAATAAACGATAAGCTAAGTATAAAATTAATTTAGACTCACTTCATTACTTATTGTACTTCAGAGAGTACATGTGACAATAGAGAAAAAGTACATATTATATAAATAGAATCTTTATTTTTATCTATATTTTTTTTAAGTTTTTAATAAACAGTGTTTTGCAGTTTGTAATAAAAAAAAATTGCATTATGTATACGTAAGTTTTTTTTGTTGTTAATATTATTTATAGCAGCAGCATTTTTCTGTTCATAACAGAATTTCTCTACAAAATATGAGCATATTTTTTTGCATATATATTTACATATATCTTAGGTTTCCGATATGTATGATCCTTTTTTAATTTGGAAGGGTTAAGAGTTAACTTTCAGAATGTTTAAATAAATTTAAAAAAAATATGTGAGATGTTCCGTCTGACTGAAATAGGCATTTTGAATATTTGTAAGATCAAGTTAAATCATTAAATTTGTGTAAATTTGGATTTATTTAACGAAATGGGTTCGTAATCGTCAAAGATATTGTGTAATATACTAACAAAAAAAAGTAATAGTGTGTGTAATAAAAAGAAGAAATTACGGTTACCTAAACATAAAGTAACGTATAATATTCAAATATACTTATATTTATACCGCATGGTCTCTGCATAGAATAGGCCACCTCTTCCTTTCCCGTGGGTGTCATAGAGACAACTAAAGGAATTTAATGGATAAGGAATGGGCAGTAGCGTCGCTATTAAAATACCACCAAAGTCTAACTGCGGTTGTCAACCCGCCTGCCAAGCGTGGCGACTACTGGCAATATCCCCATAAGGGTAGGCCTATTTTCAGTAGTGGACAATTAATGGCTGATATGGATATTCAATGTACATAATTATTTGTATAGAATAATACATATATGTATGTCGATTGGTAGATAACGCCATATGGTATTAAGGCCGCTCTTTTCACTATCTAGATGTATTAAAATTTAATAAATACATATATGAAATGCCATATTTATATATGTAAAATACGTACATACACAAATATAATAGGTTTCTGAAGACAGAAGATGCTCTTTTAATCTGCTTTTGAAGATATTCTGCGATTGACTTTCACATATTTGTACTGGAAGAGAGTTTTACAATCCTGTCGTTTGGATTACTACAGCGTGAAGAGTCATGGGAAAGGATTTTAAGAATGAGGGATTTACTAGATCTACATGATATGCCAATGGGAACGAGGAAATTGAGACTCATAAAAAATACACGGGGAAGAGAGATTGTACATTGAAGGGTGAAAGAAAAACATCGTATCGTATCTATAATATAATGTTTATTTGTAAATAATATAGGTACGATATATCTTATCTTTTAATTCCATAATGATTCAAAATGACATCAACATGGTAGTTTTTTAGATATCAAAGTGTATTGAGAATACAATAGTCATTGTTCCTTTAGATAAATATTTCCTTTATATAAATCGGATATTGATAATTTTATTGAACTAGGTGTTATATTGGGGAAGCTCATATCACTGGTTAGTTGATTCGAATTATTTCGTTTAATTCCGCTACTGTTAGTCGTATGATTGCTAAGATTTGAAGATTGATTACTATTATTATTAGTAGAAGTTCTACGGCTTTTCGTGTTAGTCATCAATTTCCGGCTGTTATTCAGTCTACGCATACAATGCTCCACATGTTTCTCCTCTATACAGGCATTTTAATATCGCTTCTCGGAGTCTAGTATTGACCGTTCGGCGTCCAGACTGCGAATGACTTATTATCGGCCCCGTTTTATCTTCGTATGTTGGTAGTCGTACGCATACTAATAGTAGCGAAATTAAACAAAATAATTTTAATCGACTAGCCAGTACATGTTTTTAATATTTTAAGAAGTATATCATATTTTATTATTTTGTCTGTCTATCTATCGCCACGCCAAGAGAGAACCGAGTTTCTCTATACAGATATATTTCTTGTTTCATTTACTTCAATATGTTGTCTTGTACAAACATGGCGGTTCTGCGGACTGTTGATTCTTCCATCAGCATCACCATCTTAGCCATTTTACGTCCACCGCTGAACATACGTCTGTCCCATAGACTGCCATAAAGAATGGTTGATTGATTCTTCCATAATTAAATAACATATGGTCTATCTGATCATAAGAGGTTAGTTTAGACAAACGAGGTTAGTTTTAGTTAGTTCACTAGTATAGTATTATATTATCTGTAGTTTAGGTCTCCCCTGCTAACATGTATTCACATTGTATATGTGTTTTAGCCATCTTTCCTCTAACACACTTTCTAGATGCCCGAAACAATGTAGCATACTCTTTCTATTTCTTTTCTCATTTTTAAACATTTTCTTTCAAAGTAACTTGATTTCATATTACTGTATTTTAAATATGATCAGCAAATTCAGCAAACTCGCATTTCGACCACATTTGTACATTCATACTTTACATACGTAATTCTCGTTATGTGGGGACAATTATAGTATTGTGTATCGCCAACTGTGCTTTCTGGATTTAATCAATATACTGCAAAGATCTATATATCTAATTCTAACATACAATGATCTTGAAATCCCGATTAGAGTGTAGGTGACTACAATTCAGTTTTTTAATGGGATGAAAATTAAATGGTAACCCCGCCTGCGCAATCGTATTATACTGTCGGGGTACCAAAGATGAATGATAAATGAGGATGAAGTCACGTCAGTCGTGATTAATTCACCAGAAATTAAACATGATGTTTTCCAAGCGGGTTCGTATAGAAATCGATCTGATGTGGTATATTACCAGCAATGGGAAAAATTACACCCTATTACTAACATTTCCAATATGACTTAGTCGATGAGTTCCGTACAGTAATATACAGTAAAAACCCATTCGTAGTAATTTTCATTTAGACATTATTACTCATAAGATTATCTATTCAAGACTTTGATATGGGTTAAGGTGGTTAGAAAATAAATTTATTTAAATGTTAATCATTAATAGCATCAGTGTATTTATTATTATTTCAGTTGTTAACTGTCCATTGCTGGACATAAGCTTTCTCCATAAGAGGAGTTTTGCCAGTAGTTGCCATGCTTGGCAGGCGGGTTGGCAACCCCAGTTAGGATTTTAGAGATATTTTAAGAGGGACGCTGCTGTGTATGTTATTGTATACAATGTATATTAAGCACAAATTTTTTGCGTACAAATATTTTAATAATGTCTTGCTATGCTACTTGTTATTTGCGATCTAAATTTGCCTCGGTTTTCAAAAATTTTAAATTTCACAAGGGACAATTCTCGGAGTAAATTTTAGCCATCGTGCAGAGCTGAAAGCGTCATGCAGAGATAGAAAGGTGCTATGTTTCTTGAGCGTTGCACTTATATTTCAAATTAAATAATACTTAACGTATCTTGATCAATATAATAAATCAGAAGTGAGTAATAAAAAAAGAAGACATTAAAGTACACTTTTTTTTACCACGAAGGTGGCAAACAAGCATACAGACCGTTTGATGGTAAATGATTACTGTAGCCTGTAATAATAGAGGTATCACGTGCGCATTGCCGATCCTGAAGAAACCTTAATAACAGTTATTAATAGAATCACAATTTTCTGAACGTTATTATAGATAATTTTGAATAATGATAACCGGATATCCAGCTATATACGCGTATCTTCCTAAAATTGCTTTGTAATATTACTTGCTATTTCATGTACTGGTAGTACATTCAATAGCTGTGAAATTTTATCCCTATATATATTTTGATTATTTACCTTCCTTACCACTCCAGATGAATTGTAAAGCATTCTGAAAGGTGTATGTCTAAATTTAAAAACAAATAATTAACTTGTAAAATTGACGTATTTCAGAACCTAAAAATTTTCATATCTGAATTTAAGATTAATTTTAGGATAGGATTAATTTTATATCAACAATCTAAAACTACCTTTTTTTATAAAAACTAAAATTTCCTACTATTCCATTAATAGTTTTTGTCCCACATAAATAAGAGTTTAAGAACAAAACAAATTAATAGCTAAAGTACTGGTATATTTACTATTATGAAAATTTCATGTTTAATTTCGACCAGTAGTAAATTACGTATTTCTTAGTTTTATATATGGAATTTAAATACAAAAGTGTCTCCAAATTTAAATAGGGCAGATTAAACGAATTTTATATGTTTGTGTTACAAAGATAGATCATTATCTTATATTAAAATACTATATTAATTATTTCAGTTGTTTATTAGCAGAATTTCGTACAGTAATTTGAATAGGACAGCATCTATCGGATCATTTAGTATATAATAATATATAAAAAATGTAGTAAAAGAAAAAAAAAATCATATCATAGTTGTGAACCTAAAGATATCAGTAAATATTTAGAAGTATCAATGATATGATACCTATATAATCAATAATCATATAAACGTTTGTCGCGTGTTTAAATGTTTGTGGAGAATTAGGTATAGTACATAGTTTTCAACATAAACATTATGTGCCTATATTTTAGTTGGTTCAGAGATTAAATCTCCGATTTCACGGACCCATGTCAAATAGATTTGGGTAAAGTGATATCTCTGTCAGATATGTTGAATACGGAATAGCACTTTGGCTATTGTATATTTATAGTTTACACAAACTCTAGTTTTACAGTAATATTTTTCATAATTTCATGATTTTTTTTTATGAAATAATATTTACCTGAAACCAAGCAAATAGAGACATTACGTAAATATATAATATCTTTAAATGCTTGGATATTTTTTTTAAGAAAAAAATATTTTTAAATAGTTGGGAATGAAATGGTATTTACGTCTGTGCTATCTGTATATGCTGATGATAGTTGAGGATGAAATCAGGTTAGTTATAGTTAGTCTATCGTAACGAATTCCACAAGAATTAACCACGATGTTATCTAAGGGGTACCGCCTGGATGTGCGACCTGATAGGATATCCCTTTCCCCCCAATTGGGGAGAAAATATTAGATAGTAATTAAAGGAGCTACGGTTATAATAGTATTATTTCTTGAAGAATATTTTTTATAATAGAATATAGTGTTTCCAATATGTCGGTGAAGTAATAATAGTCTGTTAGTAGTAAACACAAAGATTGATGAGCTACACGCTACACGTGACTTTTGTTGATGACCCACATTTTTCAGGAAACCACAAAAGCGCACAATGAAAATATTGTATTTTTCGAGCGGGTCCTATGGTTGGAAAAAGTTTTATTCCAAATTATAGTAGAAAAAAGTTCGGAACATTCATTAAAATATGTTTTCGTTATTCAGCCCGTTTCTGATCAGTTTTATTATATTGTGGAAAAAAAAATATATTTTATTTTTTATATCGGTGATATTTAAAATGTTTTCTATACCGACTTCTAAGAATCGATGATAGCTCACAATTTGCAGTCAGCCATTAACAGTGTACTACTGAACATAGGCCTCCCACATAAGGAGGGGGGGAGGGTTTGCTAGAATTTGCCACGCTTGGCAAGGGGGTCGGAAACAGCAGTAAGACTTTCGTGATGTTTAAAGCTGCTGCCCATACCTCAACTACTAAGTTTCCTTAATCGCCTCCTATAATACCCACGGGGAAAAAAGGGGAGACCCAATCTATGCCAGGACCACACGGCATAATAAAAATGTATAAATGTATGTATATTAATACACATCCACAAACAAATTTATATTCGCAATTGTAGCATTAGTAACGAAGCAAGGATTTTAAGGTATTAGAAATTTTTAGGTTAGGTTGTACCCTAAACCGAAAAATATTCTATGTGGTTCACGAAATAAAACAAAAGGTTGGAGACCTCTGCTCTAAATGAAGGTTTCGAACGGTTCAAACAACATTTTATTTTTATTTTTCAGGGCACTCCCCAGGTCGATGCGAAGTACTTCTTCTGGTGGCGTGCGAATAAACACACCCATATTGGGATCAATGGCTGACAACTCAAATCGAAGGCAGTTTGGTCTCAGCGCAGTCGGAAAATTAATTGGGTAAGGCATTATAATTATAATAGATATACACAACGTTCACTTATATTAAGTTATATCGTAAATGTAAATTTTGTGTACAATTACATAACACAGTATTGCACTCTGAAGCTACAATAATGTTTAGGAAGTAACTTGCAGAAATAAACTAATTTACTCACGATGGGAAGTCAGTGACATGTCTGACTTCGTAATTAAGATGTCATGTTATCAAACATATATGAAAAACTGAGTATATTTGCACATTGTAAAGACTGAACCCTTATTCATATAAATACAAAGGTTTAATAAATCTAATTTAAGTAGAAAGAAAAAGAAAAAAATCCTTTTAAAGTATTTTGCCTATATTATTATTATTATCTAGTTAGATATATCCTTACTTTAAAAGAAATTACACAGAAATAGTTCAGAAAATCTGTAATATGTAGTTAAAGTTGGTTTCTAAGATTTAATTTTCTATGAATAACATGATTTTTTTACTCATATTAATTGATAGATTCAAATTCTATTCTATGTTTCTTCACGATACGAAACCGTATTTCTCGATAGATTTATAAACTTATCATTTAACATGTCGCATGTCTAATGGGGTTGCTTATTTTCTAAGTAGGTACAACTTGAGACATATTGAATGAAAGCAACTTTTGAACTTTCTGGCACTTTCCGAGCCCAATGTAGGATAACAACCTTAATATTAAGCTCAATATATATAAAGATGGAGTTGTTTATGTGATCTAAAAACTGTTTATCTGGCACAGATATAAATGGCACAAATGTTTTATATTTTGCGGTTAAACTAAATTTAGAATGGCAACATCTTTAGTAATAGCTCATACTTTTTTTTATTAAACAACAATTCTTATAAATTAATAAATATTACAAATGTGCAAGTGAATTTGTTTCTTTTTATCAATTATTTTTTGACACGTAATAGATGGATAGAAAATAGGCTACGTTTTATGTCAATTTATCAATATATTTTTTATTTTATTTTGGTACAAATAGTTATAAAAAAATAGTTAATTTTTTTTTATGTTATATGAAAACAGTCAACGAGTATCGAAACATCATCATATGTTTATTTTATGGATATTCCTACAGATAAAATTGTGGGTAAAAACTAGTAACTTTTTATATTTCAAATATACATTTTGCACAGCTTTTGTTATTGTATAACAAAGGATAAAAGACTGGCAGTTGTTAGGTATATCGCGAATAATGGTTAGCAGTGACCGGTCGTCGACTCGGCCTCGTATCGATCCATCTCATAATTATTAAAGAGCTGCAAAGAGACTAGAATGGATATTACCCTCTGTGCCATAAAGACTCACTTACCCCTTTAGTATAACTCTCACAAACCTCGTTTTAAGTGACTTTGAAGTAAAGGATATTCCTCATTAGTTTATAGTTTTTGTAGCTATACGAATACTATACGACTAGTGACTCACTCCGGCTTAAAACAGTTTTTGAAGTTCTGTATCATAAAGGTACAAAGAAACCCTTATGGCACTTTGTTTATCTGTCTATCAGCAACTACTAATGCTAAGGATTTGAAGCTTGGAATAATTTTACATATTGATAGGTCACAAATATTGCAATGGAAATAATTAAAAACAGTATTTTTATTTTTCTTGCTAAGGAGTAACAAAAAGGTTATTCACAATTTAAAAATGGATTTCGATTTTAATGCTAATTTTTATTTATTTTTATGCTGTATAGTTTTTGAATGATGATCCAGAATTTTAGAAAAAAAAAACATTCTCTTCTCTTATCTTCGAAGTTTGTAAAGTAAAAAATCTAGAATAAATATAGTTTGTAAAGGTATACGTGAGTATTACAGAAAAAATAAAACGATCTTTCTAACTATCACAATTTTTGAGAATTTATAAAAAAAAACCTTCAAAAACATACTTAATATTGCGGTCGGATTTCTAGCCATAGTTATGGCCTAAAATACGGAATTCCTAATTGAAATAACAATTAGGTGATTATTTTATATAAGTTTAATCAGTGCGTGTTACCAGTGAGGACCAAGGTACCGAAACATGGTCCTACATCTTTGTCCGTATGCAAAAGCTTCAAGTTACTCAGCGAGCTATAGAGAGGACTTTGCTTGAAGTTTCTTTGCGTAATAGAATCCGAAATGAGGGAAACCAAAGTGACGACATAGGCCGATGGATAAGCAAGTTGAAATGGCAATGGCCTGTGCACATATCTCGAAGAACCGACATCCGATGGGGAATAAATGTTTTTGAGTGGCAACTCCGTACGGGCAGACGCAGTATTACATGACCCCTCACCAGATGGAGCGACGATTTCAAATGCATTGCGGGGAGTCAGTAGATGCAAGTGGCTCAGGATCGTTTTTATGGCAGTCTATGGGGGAGGCCAAACAATCGTATTATCCGTTACGATTTGTTTTTATAGAGTGGTAATAAATACTTATAGATATTATTGTTAAAGAGAGAGAGAGAGAGAGAGAGAGAGAGAGAGAGAGAGAGAGAGAGAGAGAGAGAGAGAGACAGAGATACAATTTATAGTATTACTGCTGACCCGACAAACGTTGTTCAGTAAAAAGCTATTAGGAACAGTTTGTATGGGAAAAAGAAAAATGGTTTACTATATTTTTCCGGGAAATTTTTCCAATCTTTTTCTTCATAAGAACCTTCTTTGGGCTTCAACGAATATTAAAGAAAGGCGTTCTCGAGTTTAGTCTCATACGAGTATTTAGCGATTCATTTTTACTTGTATATATTATTAGCTTTTTGCCCGCTGTTTCGTACGCGTGGATTTTAGAAGTAGGAAAACCGTATCACCTATAGGTGTTACTTTCAGATCATGATAAAAATATGCCAATATATGAGTTACATCATCAGACACACAATTGTGACAACTGTATCCAATGTGGTGCAGTAGTTTTTGTGTGATGTCAGAGCAAACAGATAGAAAAAAGTTCTAAAAATTGTTTTGGCATATATTGGTCTTATTAAACCCTCTCATATTATCTTTTCTTAAATATCTATCCTGTACAGATAGTGTACAATTTTATCTTAGTAATCCGTTATACCACAGAATGTATAATAATAATATCCATTGGACTTGGGCAATATGCGTTTAATAGTATAGATTTGTTTATATGGTCATTTTTACTTTGTTATATTAGAAATAGAAATTTTTTGGTTGTCAAATATTTGAAATCGCTATTAATGCAATTGTGACAAAGTACTAAAAATTTTAGAAAAAAAAAAACACTTTTTTTTACTTAGCACATTTTATTTCCTGAGAAGGATTTTTTTTATTTAGGTTTGTAAAATTTACTTTATTTGTAGTTCAGTATTATAATAAAACTAATTTTGTCAATTTTAAGTTTTTTAATGCCTGCGCTAACGGTATACGCTGGCGGGGTACCAGTGAAGGATGATAAGTGAGAATGAAGAGGTAGGCCAGTTAACCCATCGTGATGATTATATTTCATTCAGCATAATGCTTTTCAAGGGGGGGCACGTGGAGGTCGACCTGACAGGGCGTATTTGCTAGCAATGAAACTGGTAGTCCGTTTTACTGACAGTCTCTTTCTTCCCGTCAATTTTAAGTTACGTTGTAATTTCCTACGGACGCGACAGTATTATTATTATTAGCATATGACAACACAAGACGGTATTATATAAAATATATTTTCCTAAATAAATTGGCTATCATCTAATCCATAATTAAAAGTAATTCATAACTAAGTAGCAACTGTAAGAAGGATTAAAAAATTAATGCACAAGAACGTTGATCCGGCCATAACTCACCTGAGCCCTCCAATATATCACCGTGTTTACGGGAGTGCTTCCATTCAAAACTTGCTGTAATGGGTTTTTGAATTAATACCCTGTGGATATGACGTTAGCCATAATTTATGGAGTAACGCGTTATTTGCCGATTTCCCTTAACGAATAAATAGGATTCCCCATGGTTGTTTTATTGCACAATGTTAATATTTCCACCAAAGTAATGCCAACGTACAACTTGGGAATTGTTAGAAAGCCATTTTGTCGAAATTTATATTCTGAGTTTTATAAGAAAAAATGTTGGATTTAATTTTTTTAAAGTCTCTTGGTTATTTTGCATGCAAGTATTTACAACTATAAATAAGAGATATTTGGATTTTATGTATAGTTTTTAGATTTTCTTTATGTTGCATAACTTAGAATAGCAAACAAGCTGACGGTTCACCTAATGGGAAGGGGTCGTTCATACCATCGCTTATAGACATGAACAGTACTATGAACATAACAGAGTATACTGTGTCGCCCATGATACGTCTCATACGTTGCGATTCCTAAGGATTAAGGTGTTACCCCATTATACTTTGTAATTTCACTACCACATTCTACTCTTCAAACAGAAACACAACTGACAGAAACATGAATAGGAGCGAGTTATCCAACCAAATGATATTTGTACAGTTTCTTTCTCTGGTGATACTTAGATAGAGAGGTTTAAAGATTTATTTAATTTTAAATGAACTTGTTTTAATGTCATATTCCAGTAGACTAGACACTAGTCACTCAGACACTCATACACATAGACACTCAGACACTTGGACACTCGGACACTAGATACTCAGACACTCGGACACTCGGACACTAGACACTCGGACACTGGAAACTCAGACTCCAGACACTCGGACACTAGACACTCAGACACTAGACACTCCGACACTCAGACAGTCGGACACTCAAACTCTAGACACTCGGACACTAGACACTCAGACACTAGACACTAGACACCAGACACTCGGACACTAGACACTCGGACACTAGACACTCAGACACTCAGACACTAGACACTAGACACCAGACACTCGGACACTAGACACTCGGACACTAGACACTCAGACACTCAGACACTAGACACTCGGACACTAGACACTCAGACACTAGACACTCCGACACTCAGACACTAGACACTAGACATCATAATGCCACAGTTAAGGATCATGATGATCATTAACTATATTTCATCATTAAATATATTTAATTGTAAAGTTTAATTCCGATTAATCGAGCTATTAAGACATCAAAGTATCCTTAATAAATATATTTGTTTATATGCTTGTTTGTCATCTCATGGCGCCTTAACGACTCGACCGATAATTATCAAATTATGCAGATCTAATAACCTATGTCCTAATATAATATACTTTTTATTTGGAATTGGGAAAAACAAAGATTACCTTTATCCTTGTCTAAATATCCGGGTTACGTAGATGACGTTGCAGGTAAAACTAATTACACATGAACAAACTTACTTTTACATTTATAACATTAGTAAGAATTATATTATGACAATGTTGGGTATATCTGTCGTACATTAACCTCTCTCAAAGTGCGTCATTTGAACCGATCCTCGACCTTTTTGCAGAGCGTCACGTCCTACTTTTACTAAGTACACTGAAATATCTCCCTCTTTATTTTCAATTTAAGGATATATTTTATTAGGTTGGTACTAGACACTTACACAAATTACTTTTATGAAAAGAAAATATCGCGAGAGAAGCAAAAGTATTTATTGACTCTTATTATTATGTAACATTTGACATACCAGTAACTTTATGATGCATATTCAAATTCGACGTGGCAGGGAGCAAAACTGTCGCTGTCATTCGGATTAATTTGATTTGTTATTGACGTTTACCATCATGGCAGAGTTAGTTAAAAAAAATAAATTATGTTTACTATTGGTTAGATGCGATGTCACGACTATTGTGGTCTATTAGTCAAGTTAAGGGGTAGGGGGTACCATGTCATTGTACCGTGATGCTCTCTTAACAATAAACCAAAAAAGATTTACAGTTAATCACGAAAAAAAGAAGAATAAATTATAAATCACTATATTATTATTATGGATTATAAATATTGAATTATTAAGTTCTTTAGTTACGCTGAGGCTACGTTGCTAAGTCTAAAGATAACTGATTTCAGATCAATAAGTTTGAGAAGAGATGATTATAGCGAAATCCTGTAAATGAAACGAAATGGTGACATAATATTATATTCTAATTTCGTTACCATACGGATAGCTTATTGTATGTTAAATACATATATAAGAATGTTAAATACTAATTGATTAAGATACAAATGATAAACTATTAAAAATAGGTATTCTGTAAGTAAGACGTCGTTCACTCGACCTATTTGGTACTTAGCTGATATCGAATTGAAGCTTCAATTCAATGGGTAGTAAATTTTTTGACCATTAGTTCATTAATTTCATTATTTGAATATATAGATATGATATATCTATATCATTTACATCAGTCAGGCCAACCGGTCAATACTAGGTTCCAAGCTTCAATTTATGAATTGCCTAATGATGCCTCGTTTAGAAGTGAAATATTTGTCGGAATCTTAGATTATATAAATAGGGTGTCTCCATACAAATACTTCGCTAATAGGTCAAGTATTTTATTCATGTGTGCGTGAATAAGGTCACCGTGATGTATATTTATTACTCAGTTTATGGGAGAAATTATATTGTAAGGTTAAATAGAACAATAAAAAAAAACAATATAAAATAATTACGAATATATTTAAAAAAGAACGTAGTAAATAAAGCATAATGTTTTATAATGATGCTTATCATCATTGATTAATTTTATTTATATTTTTGTTGTGAAAATCATTGAAAGTAGCTGCCATTTTAATTATATGCTATTTTTTAAACAATATATTCACATGTATATTTACAAATATTAGAAATAATTAAATTGTTACCAATTCATATTAAAAAGTTGACCTAATTTAGTAAATCTAATTTCAAATTACATGTAAGGCTGAAAAAATGACGTGCATTGTTATTCTTAAAAAAATACGTGTCCAAATTTAGTCAAAGTGATATCTAGTCATAATCTAGGACCTCTAAGTCTAGATGAGAAAAACGATTTTAGTAGCAGAATTAAACAAAATAATTCTAATCAAGTTATCAGAAAAATGTGAAAGTAAATGAAAGTAAATAATAATCTATAATAAAACTTGTTTTATTCCTTGACACTTTAATGGCTCAATGAATCGTTTAAAAATAATGTCATTTTTTTCCGATCAATCAATATAATCCCGATCATAAAGACAAAGTCATAGGTAAAAGCTAGTTCTAGTATACGAGTAATAATATTTGGTATGCATATTTTTCACCTCTTAATTGTTCTTTATTCACTTTAATTACAGGCTATCCCTAAAATCGGTATCAGATACAGACGTCACGAGACACCTCGACGAGTACAAAGATTACCGGCCGTACTTCACGTGGTGGGTGAGCACAGCTCAGACCTTGGTGTTGCTGTTGTCTCTACTCTGCTATGGCTTTGGACCCGTCGGCTTTGGACGACACACGCACTCCGGGCAGGTGCTTGTGAAGACATTAAGTTTGCAACAGGTGAGACTTGAATTCTAATAGGTACGATAGACATAAAAATATAAATACATTGACATATAAAATTAACCTTAAAATTGTTATGCGAAATGGCAATAAATAATAATTTATTGATAGTTAAAACACAGATTGTCTTGAAAAGATTGCTTTCAACAATAAAACCGTCTTACTGCACTTATAAAACTGTATCTTTACATTTATTATTTGTCTTGCTTATTCTCTTAATTCATGTTTATAGACGATTCGTAGAGTTTTCTGTACAAAACGTACTGCAGTGAGGTTATGGAAAACCGTATGTGTTACTTTTTACATTGCTGGTGTCTATCTTTTAAGAGTCTATAGGCTATAGTGACCGTTTACTATCGGACGAGTCTCTTGTCAGCTCGTGGTATAAAAAAAGTTCTATAAAGCATGCTTTTACTCAGTTATAACCATTTCAATATATAATAAATAAAAATATAAAGCATGTATTAAAAAAAATTAAGCAATATGTAAAATCATTGAATAAGCCTTTTTTATGATTAGTATTTTTTAACCACTGGATAATATGACGTCAACATATTGCAATAAACAATCTATTACTAGAATTATTAAAAAACAGAGAGAGAACAATTATTCAAAATAAATAAAGTGAAGTTTACGTTATTAAATGTAACTTATAGAAGAATTAAATGATTTCTAAACAGTCAATTCATGTCATATAAATTGTTTCTTTTGTACGCGGTTTGACGTAACGAGATTAAATGAGGTAAAGCTTTTAGACAAAACGTGTTCCTAAAACGTATATCTGTGGAACCGCTTAGGAGACAATGCACAATATTTACTTCGTAAATTTATTATGGCGTCGAGTTTCTGTTTGCGTTCGTGCAAATAACATAAGCTATCCAATTATACAACCTGGAGTTTGTGTGTCACCTAATTTGTAACATTATGTATGTAATAGAAATTAATTTATATATATATATATATATATATATATATATATATATATATATATATATATATATATATATATTATATAAATGTAAGTTAAGGTTATCTATGTTCCATAAATTGTTTTAAATTTGTTTTTAGTAACTAAAAAAAGTATGTCTGTTGTAAAATTACAACTGCAGGTTATATTCATACCCACAAATATCGAGAAATTTCCTATGTCACTTTAAATATCATAGGCTTCTTATAGTTTTTTTTTATCTTATATGTAGGTAAAAAACTATTTTTTTTATTTTGGGTGTAGTAGTTTTGGAGATAAAGGGGGAGGGAGGGTGGCTAATTTTTATCTACTTTTTTAAATAAATTCAGAGAAAATTAATTTAAAATTATAAAAAAATTGAGTATTTCACAATCGGCCCTTTTATTTAATATGACACACTATATAGTTAAAATTTTTTTGTATTTTAATAGCCCCCAAAAGTAGCCTCTATGTTAATAATAAAATTCATTTATTTACGTTCACAAACTTACATATATCGTTATAGTCGTAGAATACTGACGGATCTGACAAATATTACATATATATATCCGTCTGTATTCTACGACTATGACGATATGTATCAAATTTTGACTTAATCGGTTTAGTAGTTCCAGAGCAAATTGACTGTGACAGACGGATGAACAACCAGACGTGTGAGTGATCCTGTAATGGTACTGTTTTTTCCTTTTGAGATAAGGAACCCTAATAACGACGAAATTCAGAGAAAATAAGTAAATACGGCGAGACGAAGTACGCATTATAAAATTACAATAAAATTACTTCAATTGTAAACATTTGTATACACATTGTATATACCTACTTATTCATGAATGACAATATGTTTCGTTATGCCCTTTCCTTTACCGTGGTTGTTGTAAGAGGCGACAAAAGGAATGGTTGCGGGATAGGCAGCAGCGTCCATCTTAAAACTGTAGAGGGTCACAGTGAAAAATAATATTCTTTAGAACAACAATATATATAATACGTGTAGATACAAGACGAGACAACCATTTGAATAGAAACAAAAACTGTATAAAAAAATAATACCAACATATATACGTGGCCAGACTTAAATTTACATCATGGCCACAAAGAAGTTTCAATAAAAACATCTCTCAGAAGGAGCTTCTCAATTAGGTTTGGTATCTTTTTTAATTTGTTCCCTCATAACTCGGTTACTTCTAAACCGATTATAAAAAAATATTTTTTTATCTGAAAGGAAATACTTAAAGATTGGTTCCATAGAAATATTAAAAATATCGGTCTTAATTAAGACAAAACCTACCGAACTCTCGGTTTTTTGTGGGACACAACCTTAATTACTTCGTTAAGCAAAACAGCAACTTTAATCCTCAAAAAATTAATATGGGATCAATTCAGAAAATTACATGTGATTAATCCATTATCGATTGCAAAAAGAACCATGAGAATTGATTCAGAGTTCGTAATGTAATTACATCAAGTAGTCAAATAAAAATGGAAGGTTTATTGTTCGCCTATTTTTATTTTTATTAGGAAGTCGCTTAAAATATAATTTTGCGATAGTGTAATTATTTTTTAAAATGATTATATTTGTGCTAGATATTCTACAAAGGTTTATTTTTTTCCTGGTGACACAGAACGCGGCGCAAAGTAAGAGTATTAACGGGATGTAGGTCACCCCAGCTTTATACCTACACGGCTTTCTTTGTCTACTTTTTGTTGCTAAGTCTTTGGATCTCTCATATGAATGGCCGCAAAGGGGTCTATATAATTATCCTTGGCCCGACTTTGTAATTTTGAGTAGTTGGGAAACACTATCTTAAATTAAACATTAGGGTAATTATGCTGTTATACTCGTATGTATTAGTGTCTATATCCATTTACCGCCTACAATGATTATTATAGAAAGTTTATTATAAAGCGTTCTTTAAAAATATAACAAAATTTAATTAAATTAAGATACCAAACTACACAATAGTATATACTACTAATAAAATGCTTTTCTAGTAGAGTGGTATATGTATTATGTACTTTTATGTTATTTTTTAATATCATTTAATTATAATTTTAAGAACACATCCTAATAAATGCCCTATAATATTGAAAAACTATTCAGTGAAAACACTGTTGTAAACCAAATAAATGTCGAAATGTTGGCATATCGAGTGCATAATGCTCGGTAAGTATTTATAGTTTTTGGTAATAGTAGTGGGTACGCGTGCACCGTTTTCCCTATACAAATATCTTCTGTTTTCTCTTCTAAATAATATTTAAAAAATTAGAATAATAAAAATTTTCAAATATGACGAAGTTTCGCCAATTTTTATTATTGCAATGAAACATTCAACAAACAATTTTGATGAATATAAAAAAGAAATGAAAGATAGAAGGACATATCCAAAGGCCTTGTATTATTAAAAAAAAAAACAAACAAATCAAATCAGTTGTTGAAGAGAAAACAGGGGAAAGCGAAATGACGAATTCGGTTATTTTTCATAGGTATTTATCAAATAGGAGTGACAACGACAGATTTGCAAAATATCTATTCTTCAAAAGCCCCTACCACCGCATTTCCCCTTAATAAAGTTGTGATTACTTTCTCTGTGGTCGCCAACTTATCGAAGTTAGGAAATACGATAGTACTTTTTCTTTACTAAGTATATTATATTTCTAATATAAATGTTTATTCATAAACAAATAAGTATTGTCTTAAACTCTCAAGTATCGCTGAATAAGAATTGCTGAGTTTGTCTCAAAATTCGTTGATTAAAAAATATATATTCTTAAATGCGCATTTCTTGAAATTGGCTTATTAATAGTTTTGGAACCAAATATTCTGTTTTTTTTTTTACCATATTAATTTAGATTTTTCGGAATAATTCATTTATTTAATAGAATACTACGTGTATTCCTTTTATTATTACTACTTATTTGAATGAATAGGGTTTACATATGCATTCCTAGTATTTGTGTTATGGATTAAGCACCTTTTTTTCCTGCGGAGCAAAATCTAGTTTCATACGATTTCAGTTAGATTTCCATTTCGCGTTCTGAATTAAAATAGTTCAAAAATGTTTATAAAACATCTCATCATTTATCGTATATATTTTGAAATAAAATACTGAGATTGCTATTAAATGTTCACTATTTTTATTTGGCGGACTAGAATTTGACGAGCTGTATGCTTGTTTGCCACCTTTGTGACACAGCTCGTCTCATGGTAAACGGTCACTGTAACGTATAGATGCTTGCTACACTAGGGATGTCACGTGCGCGTTGCTGACTCTGATGAAACCTTAATATATTCTGTTTAAAGAATGTACTTGTTACAAAAATTTTTTATCAACCCTTAATTGTCCGCTGCTGAAGGTTTAAATATGTATTAATAACTAATTTATTAATAAATAATTAATATCAACAGGTGGAATGGGAAGAGCCAGCGTCGTTCTGGCTAGGCCCTCGTGCTGCAGACTTGATACATTTAGGTGCCAAATTCGCGCCTTGCATGAGGAGGGACGCGAGGATAGCTCGTGCGATCGCCGCCCTTGCAAGAAGAGAGCGAGACACGGCTTGTTGCATACGAAATGATGACTCAGGTTGTGTGCAGTCCTCGAAGGCGGATTGTTCGGTGAGTTTAATCGAATATATTTTATATCAGCTATTGCCCTCGTAGATCAGTACATAAAGGTTAGTAATCAGTAATAAATGGAATGTGGGTTTGTTTCTTAGCGCCCTATCAGTTGTCACGAAATCGATTGTCTCGAAATGATGAAATTTCATAATTTGATTTGATATACATAGAATTTAAGGTAGAGAAAGTTGATGGCTAGTTCTGTCTTATGTGAAAATTAGTCTATGAATAATTTTAAAAGAAGAAAAAAATAGCGCAATATGAGAGAAGGTCATACAGATATTACAAAAATTAATTTGATTGAAACTGATTACAAAAATAGGGTAACTGCCTTAATAAAGTGTAATAAGTGAAGATCCTCCTGAAGGATCTATTTTAGTTTTCAATTATTATAAGAACAAAGAGAAATTGTAAGAGAAAGGTACACAGACGAATTGGAATCAAACCAAAATTATATCTTAGAGATGTTAAGTGGACGCTGTATTTATTATATTTGTCGTCTATTTGATATTTTTATTTTAATTTTATTCAAGTTTTGTTTTAATTCTGTTCCTCTTTTGGATTTGGAAAGGCAAAAGGACTAAACCTATACAGCCGTTGCCTTTAGCTAATTTCAAGTATTAAAATTTTTTACTTCATGTTAAAAGTCACTATTTAATTTTATTCTTATGGCTTTTCTTGCAAAATAATTTTTATATTTTTACACGCTAAACACAGATAAGAGGATTAATAACAAAAGTGAGTATTATATATTACAATAAAGATGAGTGTATTTATCTTATAATATGGACGTAATAATTTTTTTATTTTTTTTTCATAGAACACAATAGAAACGTGGAAGAAATGGTCAACGGGTAATGGGCCCGGAGGTCGGATATCAGGGTCAGTTTGTGGATTAGATCCCAAGTAAGTACTTATGTACTCGCCGATATATTAAAGTAATAATAATACCTATATTTTTTTGTGAGCATGTATATTTTTGAGGAGATTTGGTCTAAGTGAATATGGTAATTATAAAATACGTAAATGTTTCAAATTATTCGGTCGTTTTAGAAAACGGCCGAATCAATTTATCATAATCATAATAAGTCACAGTAAGAACTATAATTTTCATTAACTTAAAGGAGAAAATTATCAGTTGATATCAATGAATGAAAACTCTTTATTGTTATTAAAGAAAGATATATTTATATAAAATACGTATATAATATATAAAAATATAAACTATAAATCAGCATTGCGAGATAAAGAAACAAAAAATTATTATATTTTTTATGTATGTGTTTTCAAAAATTTATTAATTGTGATGAATTTTATTTACAATAAAATATATTGAAAGTAAACGTATTTATCATCCACATATCGAAACATAAAAAATTGTAACGAGTTCTGTGAAAACATAGTCATTTGTAATGAGAATATGCTTTCTATATTAATCAAAATAAATTTCTATGAAATAGATTAATTATTTAGAAGTATTTTAAATCGTATAAAATTATGATTTGAACGTTTATACATTTAATGTATGGGTCTAATTTAATTATACAAGTCGCTGCTTAATTTAATTTGTACAAGCATTTTCCTGTCAACATCAAACCCTACTTCAATTTAATTGCGCTTTTTCTACGTTATCTGTTTTTCATAATAATATATATATATATATACACCAATTGCCAAAGAACAATTATTATTAATAAAAAACAATAATAATCCTATACCTAAAATACAATTACCAGAGACTTGTGAAAGTCGCCTTGTTTTTCTTTGGTTGAAAATGAAATAGTGACCCCGCCTGTGCTATCGCAATAAACTAGCAGAAAAAGTGAGTGATGATAGATGAAAGTGAAACCAGGCTAGTCGGACAATTGTGATGAAAAAACACAAAAGTCATTAAATAATATTAACATTATATGTTTTAATAATTTAATTATATAATATTACATTACTAATAACTAAATATTGTTATTTATTTAACTATCTCTAGTAGTAATATTAAATGACTTTAGCATTTGTATTGTAAGGTTTACAGTGATGTTACTTGAGATTTATAATGATTTTCTTTTTTCTAGATTTTGTGAAGCGCCGCGTTCAATAGCGCCCCACGAGTGGCCCGATGACATAACAAAATGGCCGATATGCCGTAAGTCCGTGTTGGACGGGTCGGCAGCGGCAGGGCGTGCGGGCCACGCCGCCGAACACATGGCTTGTGAGGTCATCGGCCACCCGTGCTGTATAGGCATTCATGGGAAATGCGTCATAACTACTAGGGAACACTGCGATTTTGTTAAGGGTTACTTTCATGAAGAGGCCTCCTTGTGTTCACAGGTACGTTTGTCAAAATTTTTTTTCCAGTTATTTTTATTTATTCTATTATTAACACATTGTTGGGCAAAATTCCCTTTTGTCTTCTTCTAAAACTAACTGCTCTGTACCACCTTGAACTAATTCCTCTTAAACGTTGTTACGGGTTGATTTTGCAAAAAAAAAAAAAAAAAACACCAGCCATTGATTTAAATTGATATAAGAATTGCCTGATAGCTTTTAATAAATTACAACTTAAATCTATATATATTACATCTTATATTACACTATGAACAATTTTGGACACCAAAAGAGAGAGACGGTTATATTTAGGGATATTTAGTGCGTAATTTCAGGATTTGATCAAGGGCGTTTCTTTAAACTACTACGATGTAGATACGCTGTTACTAACTATGACAATATGTGTTCCAAAATGTGTTACCCACCTGTATATAATTACATGAAACCATTTAAGATTGTAGAATTATTTTATAATTAATTTAATATTTGCCGATAATATTTAATTACTATTTCTGTTCATTAGTATTATAGTAATGAAACTCAATTAGGTGAGTTTAAACCACATAAGAACTCTCTTTATTATACCTCTAAAAATACGCCGTTTCCTGTGACGAATCATATTCTCCCTACAATTCTTTGGCCGACCTAAATTTTATTTATTATTCAACTACTCCGCAACTACATTACATTGCCAGATGAATGCGTACGGGGTGGATAGATTTTATTTATTTATTTATTTATTTAGGTTTACCAACAATTGTTTCCACAAAATAATGTAAATATATATACAATTATGGAGCTTAGAACTAAGTGTAACAATTTTTTATAGGCAAACACGTCATATATTAATATATAACAATTAGAAATATATATAGCCCTTATGCACAACTTTTTGGGTCGGTCTCGATGACGCCGTTTCTCTGTAGAGGAGACCTTTGTCCATCTATCGGGATCTATACTATAGTCACATATTATATACAACATATTCATTTCGAATCTCATTGTCTCAAGTCTGGCTGACCTCTGGCTTACGTTTATAATACTAGTTTGGGAATGAAGTATGTAACGAAACCTAATTTACACTCTATTCCCAAATATATATATATATATATATATATATATATTTATATATACATTCCATTGTTTCTGCCTACCCTAATGGGAGACAGACGTGACAGATATGTATGTATGTATATATATATATATATATATATATATATATATATATATATATATATATATCCAATCTATTTGTCCAATAGAGCAGGCACCCGTATCAAATAGCGATTAATAACTGAGCTTACCAAACCAAAAAAAAAAATGTAACTATAGGGAAAAAAAAAATAAGTAACATGTTTATACATAAATATGTGTGTCGCTTTAACATTTCCGTAACTGTCAATAGTTGCGGGTTCGATTCCTAAATTACATAAATATTTATATTAATGAATATTAATTTTTTTATTAATTAGTACATGTATGTGGAAAATGCCACGTAATGCTAATAGGATCCTCTAACTGTCAACCCTAGAGATATCTTCCATTGTGTGATATATTAAGGCAATTTATTGTTGTACTTCGTTAAATAAATAATACAATTATCGTGTTTAAATTTTCAGAATATTTTGTGAAGATTTCTAAATAAATGATTAATTAGTTACCAATTTAAGATTTACAACTGCCAGATTAAACATTTCAAAATATTAAAAATTAATAATAATTTAATATTCAGAAGATAGATGAAGATAGTTTACAACGTGATAAAAATGAATGGAAAGCAAAAGTAGAAAGAATTAACGCTAAAATAGAGGAAGTTAAGAATGATATAAAAGCATAAAAAAGCTATTTATGAAGTTACTTAGCCTATTTCAGAGGTCAAATGCTTTGTTTGGTCGCATTCTGTGATGTTTGCGGAAATTTTCTTTTTTTTTATAATGATCACTTTTCCGTGTATTCTTTATCTACGATGCGGGGTAGACACTCGTGAAAGAGAAGCAATAGTACCGCTAGTTATGTTTGGGTTTGATGTAATAAATTTTGATTGTCCGAATATACTGTATTTTTTAAAAAGTATTTTCATACTGTATTTTTGTAAAAGTATCTTCTTAACTAAATATTTAAAATTCAAAACTAAATAATATATCAAACCGCTTGGCTATTAGTAGGCACGTTTCCTTTATGAGAAAAGACGCGTACTCCGTATCCAGTAATGGGATGTCATTAATGAAATGTTATAGAATATATTTTTTTAATATTTATCTTCCATAAGGTGCTTAAAATAATTTACATATGTTCTGACTTATCCTGGTGGTGTAGCAGTTTAACATACTGCGTCATCTTCCGAGGGTCGCGGGTTTAATATAAAAATTTGTATTCATGAGTAGGTATATATATATATATATATATATATATATATATATATATATATATATATATATATATATATATATATTTCTGTTTATATTGGTTCGGATGTATGTTTGTATTACTGTGTGTAACATGTATGTATTTACAAAAGAAAAGTATATAAATATGTCTATTAGTTGTCTAGTATCTATAGTTGGGAGAAAGGGATTATTAGTAAGGGAAATCTAGAAGCTCCATTTCATTTCGACCTGTACGTAGTTCCTTCTGAAAATCATTGTGGTTAATTCTTATTAAATTCATCACTATTATATCTCACTGGTGAGCACCAGCGTATATCGATAGCGCTGGCGGGGCTAGCATTCCTTTATCCCTCATTAAAAAAAATCCATAGTGCATGCTTTGCTAACTTCGGGACTAGATGACTCTCTGTAATGTATTCTGTAGTATTTATTTATTTATTTTTTATTTTCAGGTATCTTGTCTTGACGATGTATGTGGCATGTTTCCGTTCATGCGGAGACGTCGTCCAGACCAGCTGTACCGTGCACTGACGTCACTCTTCGTCCACGCCGGTCTCCTGCATTTAGCCATGACGCTGGCACTACAGTGGCTCTTCATGAGAGATTTAGAAAAAATGGCTGGTCCTGTTAGAATAGCGTTGATCTACCTGGGCAGTGGTTTCGCTGGGAATATGGCCTCGGCTATTTTTGAACCATATAGAGCGGAGGTAATATTTTTGTTTATAATCAGGTACATAGCTAATTCGGAGAGATATAAATATTTGAACAGATTATATGTCGTAGTTTGTATGTGAATGAGGATGAAACATATTTTATATATTAGAACAGAATGTGGTAACAAATGTGTGCACAGATATTTGTATTAAATTTTATTTAAATCTGTCCAATCTAAATATAAAATGATATTATTGTAGATACAAATACTATTATAACAACTAGCTTTTACCGGCTACAACATATTCGTCTGACCGATGTATGATGACTATCAGGTATAGGTATAGATACCTCTGCTCATTTTTTTTTTTTTTTTTTCTGAATGTGTTTGCTGTTGGCCGTGTGTGGCCTTTACATCTTCACCCGGACGCGAATGCATCGAGAGCTGATGGCACTCCAAGCCCGCGAGAGCGGAGCGACATAGTGTCGACTCTTTCTTATGGACTGCGGTGTGTGTGTGCGCCTAAGGGCGCCAGAGTGGCTCGGCCTCGGCTTAGGCCACCATAATTGTGCCCCCGTCGAGGGACGGCGAAGGGTCGGTACGTCAAAATTTGAGATTGCGACGCGGTATGTTATGCGCTCGGGCGCAAACCGATCGCGCGCGGACCGTGTGTCGCGAGGGTTCTTCGTCCCCCGCCGGCGGGGGCGGTGTGTGCGAGGTGTGGGTGTGTTGGTAGGGGCTCTTGTCGCGGGTTCCGCGGTAGGTAGGGAGGGAGACGCGGTTGCCGTCGTAGTTGGATCATCGGGGTCCAAGAGTGCGTGCCTCGGGCGACGACGTTTTGGAGCGACGTTCTCTATGGGGGTTTATATTTGACCGCTCTTACTATGAGCGGATTTGAATGGGACTCAACTGAGGCAAAGTAGCGTCGAGACGCTTGCTTCATAAATTGCCTTATAGTGGGTATTTTGAGGTCGCGGTGTAGATCCACGTTGCGCACTTTCCTCGGGGCGCCCGTGGCCCGTCGCAGAAATTTATTTTGCACCACCTGAAGGGGGTGAAGTAATATCAGGAAGGCATGGGCGAAGACGACATATCGTACGTCATCACCGGTCTTATACATGCTTTATAGAGCGTCAGCTTTGCGTTAAGCGACAATTGGCTGCGCTTGTATATATAAAGGGATGGAGGCGTCCCAGTATAAAATTGGCCAGGCCTCGGACGCGTTATAGATAGATATATAACTCAAGAATCTAGTGTCACGCCTAGGTATTTGGCTTCGTTCGTCCAGGGGAATTTCTTGCCAAAAACTGAATAGAGGCGGGAAGGGATGGTTTTCGTTTTGGCCGTGAAAAGCACGGCGGCGCTTTTATCTGGGTTGACTTCGATGCGCCATTTTCTGAACCGCTTTAGGCCAGCTCGTCCACCGCCCGTTGAAGCCTGTTGGCTGCACAGGCGGCCGACAATGCTGTCCACATTTATAGGGCTGTATCATCAGCAAAGAGGGCGATTTGCACTCGGGGCTGACGCGGGATGTCGTTGGTGTACAACGAGAAGAGGTGGGGAGAGGACAGCGCCTTGAGGGACGCCGGATTCAAATCGGTCGTATCGCTGGAACGGATTCCATTGACGCGATAGCGATATGACCTATTGGACAAGAAGGCTCGTATGATGTGCACGAGCCTGTCTGGCACTCCCATCTTGTGCAGTTTGAAAATCAATTGCTGTGCCAGACTTTGTCAAAGGTTCGCTACGTCGAGAAACAGGGCACATGTGACCCAAATGGATTTCAGGTGTCGGGCGTTGAGGACGTGTTCTACTACACGATGTACTTGATGAACAGCTGAGTGCTTGGCTCTAAAGCCGAACTGCTCATCGATCAGGATTTTGGACTGTAGCCAGTCTTTCAGGCGTGCGAGTATTAAAGTCGATTGTTCATACAGCTTCCCCAGCGAGCTTTTAGGAGACTGATGGGGCGAAAACTGGTGGGAATGGGACTTATCTTTCCCAGGTTTTACGACATCGGCTTCTTTCCAAGCATCTGGAAAGATGGCATTGGTAATTGCCGCATTGAAGATCGCTACTAGAAGTAGCAGAATGGTTTCTGGCATACTCTTAAGGAGTCTGTTAGAGATACCGTCGGCACCGGGTGCCTTTCGGTTGGGGGTTCCTTTGATGAGTGTTCGCACCTCATCCAGTGTAACGGGGGGGAGTGACTCTACTGGAGGGATCGACGGATTCACTCCACCTCGGATTCTACCTTCTCTAGATGATCATCGGGCACCGGAAGGGTACTTCGGCATGCATTGGGCCTCTAGGCTGTCTGCTAGGCATTCAGCCTTTTCTTCATCAAATAAGGCCGGACTGTTGTTTGTTCGGACTAAGGGCGGAAGGTCGGAGTAACACTGGTCTGTTTTGAGGGTTTTGGCTACTCGTCAGTACGCGGTATGGCAGGGGGTGAGTTCTTTGGTGAACTTATCCCATCTGTCTCGTAAAAAAAAAAAAAAAAAAAAACTCTTTACTTCGCGCTGTAAATCTCGCAGGCGGGTTCGGTTCTCTTCTGAGGGATAGCGGTCATACGCTCGTGTGGCTGCATTTTGGCGCAGCAGACAATACATCATCAGGCAGGTTCCATCTACGGTCGCCCGTATCCGGAACCTCCCGAGGAGCAGTCCTTGACTGCCGACTGCAGGTGCTCTGTTAGCGCGTCAATGGCTGTAGTCGTCTCCTCGATAGATTCGACTACGTCCGGGATGCGGTCCAGTACCGGAGAGTTAGTCGACTCGAGGACTTTCTCGAGCCGGCTCCAGTCCGTGACCGTTTTAAATTGAGGCGCCCCGTCTGCAGGTGGGCCTAGCGAGAATGTGACGGGGCGGTGGTCGGAGATGAGTTCGGCATGGACCTCCATAGAACTCAGCCTTAAGGCTACGTTCTTTAGTAGGGCCATGTCGAGGATGGAGGGCTGATGAGCAGTGTTTGCCGGATAGTGCGTGAAGTGCACTGGGGAAGGAGGTCGAAACCCATGGAGAGCGAAAGGCGTTCCAGGGTGAGACCGTTTTACGGATAAGCACAGCTCCAAAGGCTGTGCTTGCAATTTAGATCTCCGGCAATAATTACCGAATCCCCCAGGTCCATGAGAGCTTGGAGGTCGGCCCGGAGTAGCTTTTTGGAGGGAGAGAGATATGCCGATGCTATATAGATCGGTCGGTGGTCTGTCATCGCGAGGAGGCACATCGAGGCTTCCATGTTTACGAGCGGAGGCGTGTCGATCGGAATGCACTGAAGGGACCTTCGGTAATAAATTAACGTACCGCCGCCGCGACTGATGCGGTCATTGCGTACGATATTGTAATTTGCGATTCTTGGACCGCAAATATATATATATATATATATATATATATATATATATATATATACGGTTATATAACTCACGGACTTCGTCTCTTTGCCCTTGTAGTCCGTTAGCGTTGAAAAACGCTAACTTAACGGACCGAGGTATATATATATATATATATATATATATATATATATATATATATATATATATATATATATATATATATATATCGCCGATGTGCTCGCAGACGGCTGCGAGTCTTTCTTGTGGGTCGTTGACTGACCTTAATTTGGAGGCCAGGGCCGTAATCTCGCCAGCGTCGATGGAGCTGGCGAGTTTCGCTACCAGTGCGAAGTCGGCTGCGAAGCTTGAATATGTTCGTTCCAGTTTGCGGGGCGGGGCGCGGAGGAGCGGGCGATGCCACAATCTTGGCAAGCGTGGGAGCGGTTGCAGATGGCATGGTGGGTGAGGGGGTCGCCTTGACGACCGGAGGTCGCACCCAAGCATTTTTTGGCGGGGGAGGTGGTGCAGCTGAGGGCTGCGGGATAGTAGGGGGCGCGGGGCGTGCTGCGCGGGGTGTGTGATTTGTGGCTTTTGCGGAGGCCTTGTTTTGGCCGGGACGGGGAGCGCGGGGACATCCGCGGTAGTTAGCTGTGTGGCCCTGTGTGCCACAGAGTACACATAAGGTGGGGTTAGGTGCCACTCACGCGAGTGCATTGCTTGGTGCCGTGGTCTCCCAGGCACTTGACGCAACATTCGCGCGCGTAGCAGTTTAAAAATTGCCCATAATTTTGGCAGCGGTGGCACTGCCCGGGGTAAGTCCGCTTATTTGGCGGTTCTACTGATAGGCCTGAGATCAGGCAGACACTTCGGATGTTGAAGATAGATTTCCCCTCTGGGGAGAGATCTAGTACCACTAGTACCATGTCTAGTGGCGTTTTGGACCTGCTGCGGTACATCATGTGTACCTCGTGGACGGGGTAGTTTTGTGAGCGGATATCTGCGAGGATGTCCTGGCAGTCCAGCTCCTCAGGGACGCCGCGTATTACTACGCGCAGTCGTTTCTCCTCCTCGAGGGCATAAGTGTGGTAACCCACACTGTTTGTCCTGAGGAAGGAAGTTAACTGGCGATGATCCGCCGATGTGGGAACCACTACTCTGATTCCTAGTGAGGTTACCCTTGCATGGGTAAAGGATATGCGCTTTTCCTTAAATATTTGACACCCTGTTCCAGGCTGTCTTGTCCTGGATGATTATAGGAGGAGGAGGCCTCACTTTCCCCGCGTGATCGCGGTCGGTTTTATCGGCGTTAGCCGGAACGGGTGCGCCATCGTTGGCCCGTTGGGTTTTAGGCGGGGGAAGATCGCGCGCCCGCTTCGCGCGTTTGGTGCGCTTGGCACCCACAATTTGAAATTCCTCTTCCGAGGAGGAGGCAGTGTCGGAGGAGTCGCCTGTTTCGGCGACGACGTTGGGAATCTAGCTCCATTTCCGTTTCAGAGGAGGGGCGGTTGGGAGCAATTGAGGGGACATCGGTTTGGGGTACTGTCACTAGGTGGTCCCCGGGGGAAGGTGGGTTTGAGGACAGCTCGTCGTTGGCCTCCTGAATCTATAGCCGGCGAGCAGGGGCGTCGTCATGTATCACATGTGCGCCCCTGCGCTCATCGAAAAATGCCTTTAAGAGGCCAGGACATTTGGCCTTTAAAAAGGCCACGAATTGTGGAATGTCATCCTGGGACAGCGACATGTTGTCCCAGGAAACACTCCTCTTATAAATTAGCAATGCACCCGACTCTTAAGTCGGGTGCCACTACCTCAAATAATTTAAATTTATAATACGGACAATGCGCTACTATAAAAGTGGACACAAAAAATAAGCCGCTACAAGCCGCGTATATAAGGGCCTGTTGGGACCTGTCCAGGTATGAGTCGCCCTTTATACAAGGATTAGTCACCGGCCGGGCGACGGTTACCCGGCCGCTTTGTGTACAGTTAACCGCCCCGCCGAGTACGGCGGGGGGGGGGGGTGTGTGCCTATTGTTAATGTAACAATGGAATGTAGTCACCGGAGTGACTTGTGTACCTGTTGCCGATACTTGGCCGGGGTGTCGAAGGCGGCGCGGGTCGCCGGGGAGGAGAGTGCTGGTCTCTGGCACCGGCTCCTGGAGCTGGTGCGCTGCGCTTATGGCGCAGTACACCACCCTAACATTTTGTTAGTCCGATGCACTAGAGTTCACAAGATACACAATTGTCACTTGTAACTGTTCACATGCACTCACTGCACTCGCGACGCGACGAGGTGGCAGCGCGTGCCATGTACGCGAACGGACGGCCGTTAAAAAGCGCGCGAAACTAAGGCGACGAACGAGAACCTCGTGCCCAAGTTGTTCTCTACTTTTCTTCGTGTCCGACGTGTTTGCGTATCCGCTGACTCCGTGCAACAAGGCAGCGCTACACAACGGAGTATTGATGCCAGTAGTGACGCGTGCGTCACCAAAGGCTATCGAATGAGCAATACCTCTGCTCACTACAGGTCACTTCTTATATCTTTCTCCGTGTTGGGCATTGTTGAGATTATTTTCATTCTATTCTATATTACTTACCCATTTTCATAATTTTATCTATCCCATATTTATCATTATCTTATGTATTATATCTATATACTAATATAATTATACACAACATTTTGTGCACACATGTGTCCGAGAGTCACGTATTTAGGGCCTATTGAAAATCAGCGTCGTAGCTTCAGATATGAAACTGCGATATATGCTGAGTTGGAGTCCTTTACACAAACATTGCAATTAGAATTATGATTTAGTATCAAATACATATTTATAAGGTTTCATATTTATGACATTAGTAACATAAAAATGTTACTCTATATTAATGTTAGATTGAATTTTGTATCAATCATAAAAATTTAATATTAAATATATGTATGTAATCTGTTACGACGGAAAAATAATTATTGAATTTTATTTTATATTACAGGTGGGCCCAGCTGGATCACATTTTGGTCTTCTAGCGTGTTTGATAGTAGAAGTAATAGCAGCACGGCACAAGTTGAAACACCCGCAGCGCGCGCTCATGAAAATGCTCTTGATAGCATTAGCGCTATTCTTGGCAGGTTTCCTGCCTTGGATCGACAATTTCGCGCAGGTTTTCGGTTTTATTTTCGGGTTTCTAATCTCATACGCCGTGTTGCCTTTCATATCTGATGAGAGGAAGAAAAGAGACGAGGAGGACGAGAGATATGAGCGGCGGAGGAGGTGCTGGATATTAGGGGTATGTTTAGTGTCAGCGGTGGGAATGATCTGCACGCTGGTGGCTTTGTTCTACGCTGCGCCGGCGTACGAGTGCACGGCGTGTGCGTACTTTACGTGTTTGCCGTTCGCGCCGGACATGTGTGCGTCACAGGACGTGCGCGTGCGGCAGTTGGACGGGGTATGACGGCGCGCGGCCCGGGCGCCCCCGCCGCCGCCGCGTCCCTGCCCCGCGCCCTCCGCGCCCCCTGCGCCGCCCGCCCGCCGCCGCCCGCGCCGAGCCGCCGCCTAGCGCCCCATTGCCACACAGGACACAAGACCTACATAAGTCCGCCTTTACATTTCTGACTTGTACTCATATTAGTAGATTACATAAGTATCGTAAGTACATTAATTGAACGATCAGATTAACGCTAAGTTTAAGTAACTTAGGAGTGTTTATTTTTACAAAAATTACACTTGCGAGATTTACTCTGTAAGTTCTATTTACATAGGTAAGTATTTTGTGTAATAAAATTATAATAAATTTTCTTTTGAAAATACATGTAATTTTTTGCAAATGTAAGCACTCTTGTAACTTATCATTATAATCCATCGATCGTTTAATTAATTTACGATAAGTTAAGTAATGTACTTATGTGAGTAAAGTATATAAATGTAACGTGGTCTAATGCACAGAGTGAAAGTTTTAGCCCACAGATATAAATAAAGATAGAAATGTCTTATATAGAAACAAAGAAAGTAATTACTGTAACGTTTTTCTACTTATTATGGCATTGTTATAATCCGCATTCAATTTTGAAAGTACCACTATTACAGTAATGAAATTATTGGTATTTATTGTCAAAGAATATAACAAAATGTAGTTGAGATCTTATAGACATTTGAGCTTCCTTTAAATAAAAATTGACACGAAAAGTATATGAAGTCGCTACATCTATTTTAACCCATATCTGTGTTTTATCTAAAAGGTATTTGGCATCACAAAAATATGAACAATCCGAATAATCTGTGGGATGCAGCGCTCCTTAGACTGATTTCATAGCCCACAGTACTGTTAATTTTAATAATGTTTCCATTCGACAGATAACTTTCCAAATTGATAACAGGCTAAAAGTTTATACTCTGTACAGAGGTTCTTTGTGCCATCACATACCATTTGCCCAACATCGAAAATTCGGGTAATGCGGCATAAAGTCAGTCGAAAATATTTTATTATTTATTTTAGTAAATATTTTAAGTGGCAATAAAGAATGTGCGATACTCGTAGTGTATAAATTTTTTATTGTCGTCCCTAAAGGAATATTACGTAAATTATTTTTAATAGTTGTTATTTCGATTTTATTTTATTTTTCTAAATTTTTGTCAACAAATCTTGTGCATTAAAATGGGTAACTTGTATCAATATTAAGTCGAGTATCATGTCGAAAATACTGATAAGTCAAATTTGATCTAATTTATTTAGATTTTTTATAATTAACAATAGAATACTTAGAGACAGATTAAAAACTAGACAGATATGCCATTAAGAGTTTTATCGTATAAGTCCATCCAAAGACACTTCTTTAAAAAGACGTTATCTTCAACAAAACACCTATTTTGCTACTCAATTCGACTTTAGTATTCGACTTATTTTAATTACCTGCAATACGTTTCTAATTAATCTTTAGAGACTTTCGTTTCATATTTTTCTATATAAAATGTGTCAAAATTATAATTTTAAAGACGTGTTTATTTTGTTGATATAGTTTTACTATCTTATAAATATTTTAGTAAGGTTTCTACTCGTATCCGAATTCTATGTGTTCGATTTTATTTAGGGACTTAAATCGATACTCAAACTGATCGTTACTAAAATGTGAGAAATGATTCTAAATGAAACTGAATTAAAAAAAATTGCATTTGTACTAAATCGACGGATAATTGTTACTCGCGAACGTGACTAAATATTGTAAATACTTTGTAAATTACACTGTTGATCTTAAGTGAGCCGTGTTTATGTGTGACTATGTTCTAACCTGCGTGAATTTACGGAAACAAAGTTAGAAACAACCTCAAACCAATTTAGTCATTCATTTTTCATGAGACGTATCTTAAAGAAAACTCTATGTTTAATATCCTAATATTATAAAAATTTTATACTCATTTTGACATTTATTTTTTTTTATTCTGTGATTAAAAATCAATAAAGACTATATTGTTCTTTTGTTTTTAGCTTGCCGTATATATTGTGTATGTATATTAATTTTAAATTACCTTTATCAAATTAAATTTTATAGGTATCTGATAGCTGTTTCTACGTTTATCTGCTTTAATAAAATGTCCAGTTGTAGTAAATCGGCGGTGTTATTAATTTGTTTCCGTAATGTTGTCAAAATATACACAATTTAGTATATTACTAAATAATGTAAATAGCATGTTAAAGGATATATTTGATATTTTCATCTATTACTTTCACAGCATATATAAACGAATTCAGTCTAATCTAATAAGCATCACTTTTATAAATTTTTTATTTGGCATTTCACCGAGCAGAAATGTAGTACTTATATATATGATTATGTTAAATTGAAATATAAAGTATTGAAGTAAGGATTATTGCGGTAAAAAATATTAACTACACTTGTTGTCGGGAGTTTCTAGACCAGGTATCGTGGATTTACTAAATTTTGCAAGTAAACATACTTTAGTTAATCTTACTTAGATTATAACATATGAAAGGTTTTTTGATATTAGAGAAATCCCATCTTGTAATTTTACAAATTACTAGTAAGAAATTGTATTTGTTGAATTTAGACGTTTGGTTTGAAAAATAAGAGTACTTGTTTTATTTTTTACTCAGAGTTTAGTTTAGTATAGCGATAATATAAAAAAAAAAGTTTTTAATTTTTTTCTTATACTCCAAGTATTATACTTCTGCTCGGGACTTATATAGTTAATCATGAAGTCTGTGTAGGTTTATATATTATTTTATAAATATATGCTAGTAAATATTTAAAACAATGTAAAGTTAGGAATATTTATTTTAATACTGATACCATATAGGACGATGTGACTGTCTCCCCCATATGCAATGTTATGATTGATACTAGTAATGAATCGTGTATTTCCTTTTAAAATGTACATAATTAATTTTAATAAAGCGATATTGGTGATGATCATAATGATTATGATGTAATGAACAGTTTTTTTCGTCAAGGAGAACGCTAATCGAGAATCGAATGATGTAAATGATAATTTTATACAAATCAAACACAAATTAATTTGTAGATATATTGTAAAAGTTTCTGTAAGTAGCTATATACAAATTCATAACAATGGAAAATGTGTAAACACCTTTACGAAATTGTCGCACATTTATTTTTATATTGTAGTTATATAAGTTTGCTCAGTGGTTCGTTCGCAATAACGTATTAATTATCTGAATTGAAGTTGTTTAATGTAAAGTTGCACAAAGAAATCTCATTCTCTCTTTACTTTCGTAATGGCATTTCTCTCTAATATACGCACATTATGTGTTGTAAAAGCGTTATTAAAGTTTTTCTTTTTGCATAGTTCGATAAAAAATTTATAAATAAATTATCTTTTTAATCCAATAATTCGTTATTTGTTCTAAAGATAATAACGACAAATACTATAATTTAAATCATTCACATTGACAATTAAGATTATACTGGAATTATGGGTTTTAGTACAAAAAATCATGTTTAGGTAACCTCGATAAAGAGTATCTTTGTCATCGAAAAGTGAAATGCTTTTCATATTAGCCTATTGTTTAATTTATTTGTAGATAATCTATAATTTTATTTTGTAAAACGTACCTGAAGAAAACGTAGGCAAAATAATACTCAATGCGAACACCCATCGATTTACTTCGAGTATATATATGAGTATTTCTATTATTATGTAGTTTCTTTTCATTTTAGTTTTAAAACGTAAAAACCTTTCCACTGCAGACAATGTTATTGCAATAGTTGTTACAGAGAACATAAACATTTATTCTATTCTAGTATTATATTATGTTATATATATATATATATATATTCCAATTATTATGTTATGGTTTTTATGATTACATTAGATACTTGTAAAAATAAAGATTTCACAAGTACTATTCTAGTCTAAATACAATTCTCAATGCGTGACAATTATCGTAATTTTATTCATTAATATCTGTTTTTTGGCTTACAATTTCTTTTTCCAATAATCAGTCATCATACTCGAGCTCACTTTTATTATATGCATAACATCTTTTACACAGCTCTTCTTTCCTTTAATTCTTTTCGCTCTCTATGTTTTATTTATAATTGTCAATATTCATACGCAATAATTTCTTTAATTGACTTATTATTATTGACTTATATTGGACTTCCAGTCCTTTTGTATTTTGTATATTTTCAAGAATTTATATATTTGGCTCTAATTGTTTCATCAATAATGCTATAAATGTGGGTGCATAGTATATTAGAAACGAGGAATGTTTGTTTCCAAACGACACTATAACATCATTTTACATAAAGAATAACATTTTTAAAATAGTAGTAAAGAAATTAATAGGTGCAAATATTTCAAATTTCCTGGAATTATTTATTAGAGATTTAATTGCGCAACTAAGCCCAATTTTGTACAGGAGAAAGGATAATAACATTGGGTAAAAGGTTTTAGTTACTATTTTCTTACATTGACATTCGATTCGATGTTGATTTATTTAAAATTAGTTAATTTATTTTTTTGAAAAAATAAACATATTATTGTATAAATTTATCGAATCATTATCGTCACTCGCTGTATGAAAAGGGCTTAATGTGAAACAGATTTAGGAAACCGAATGATTAAATATTGTCTTTTATAAAGCATTGAACACTGCCTAAAGTATTATACTTATTTATAGCCTGTATGTTTTAGTTACTACATTTTAGTATTTTTGTAGTCTTCATTTGTGTGTTGTATCATAAAAAAACTTATTGTATGTATATATTTCAATCGTTTCTCTAAGTAATGTACATACTGATAACATAATAACAAAATTTTGTTACATATTATATTATAATTCGTCTCTTGATTCGAATACTTTTCTAAATAAATTTTATTTCATATATTTATTTTTATTTTCAGAAAATTTATTCATGTAAATGTCTATAGAAACTTAGTGTAGACTAAGTCTAATAAAAATTTAAGTATTAAAAATAGTTTTATATACTTGTTTCTATTTGTACAATGGACACGCGCTATTATCTATTCGCATATTTAAGAAAAAGGTGCATATGTAGTTTCAGTCATATTTTTTAACTTAAAAGCACCACTCACATTCTGGGGTGGGCACCAGACCTTTCTTGCCCTCCCTTAAATATGATTATGTTATTATCATCGCGTGTCTAATTTTTACCATTATTTTTTGTATTGAATTTAAAAGTGACAAATATTTATTTCATAAACTGTACTTTATATAGGTATGTTGCTTGACTGTACCGCAATCTTATTGACATTGTTATTTAAAATTTAGATATTATTTTACAATTGTCATTCATATGTCTATTCTTGAAACAAATTATAACTGAAATATCTGTATGTTATCAATATGTTACATTATATTCGAAACGATTGGGGCTGTCATTGATACTATCAGGGTTTTTATTCAACTATTCTGTAACTTACTGATTAATAGTATAAGACACGATGCATTGATGCAAGTAAATTAATTCAACATCTAATTTAGAATAAGATTGCGTAAAAATATGATAGTAGTAATGACGAAGCACAAAATGAGTGATGCCGTGTTTCAAATGTGTGAAGTGTTAACCCATAATTGGATGCTAAATAAGCTATCCATTGGCTGGCTCTCGATTATTCCCTCTTTACTCTTACCAGCGTTACATGAAGTGCCCTTGTGGCCGGCGGCCCGGCGGACTGTTTCAGAATTTAACTCTAAGAAAAACTTACATATTGTACATTGTGAACATACACGTATTATTACATTATTTCGTAAGGAAATGGTAAAGTAATCTTATTGTAAACTAGTATTAATCGAACAAGAAACCTTATTATCATAATATCATTGTGTTTTTTTTCCTGTTAAGGATAATGGTGATAATTTTTATATTTAATTTCCACATACTTTTGTAATTCTATGCACTTGCATATAATTTCTTAACAAAATATCTATAGAAAATATATAAAGGCATAAAATAAAGACCGGCAGCACACCTGCAACTTTTCCGGTGTTACTCATGGGCGACAGTAGTCACTTACCATAAGGTGAGCCGCATTCGTTTACCTTCTGTTTCATAGAAATAAAAAAATAAGAAAGGTGGATTAATTCAGCTGGGAAACGAATTAACATTGAAAACTAAAATAAATAACCTCATTTTATATTTGAGGTAAAAAAAAAGTATTGGAATAGACTGGAAATAAAAATAATGGAGTAAACAGAAACATTTGTCAATTATTGTTATTGTGGTAAACGTTAACTGTCGACATTTTCACTGTCCTTCGAATATTTAAGAATAAAATAACTGCGTGTGCTTGGTTATGTTTCAGTCTGAATTACCAATCAGATTGAACTACAGTAATTTCACTAAAATTACAGAGTACGAGCTCATAAAACCTGATTTCTCAGGAATGGTAGCGCGTGATGCTATGGACACATAAGTTGTGTTCTCCGATGTTTATAGTCTTTTTCTTGTCTATAATCATCATTATATAAGCCGTTTACTGAACATCGTTAAACATAGGTACAACATAGGTCTCCCCAAATGGGAGGATTTTGCCAATAGTTGCTACGCTTGGCAGGCGCATTAGCAACCGCATTTAGGATTTAGCGGTCTTTTAAGAGAGACGCTACTGCCCATCTCTCGACCATTAAGTTCGCTTAGTTGCCTCTAGCGCACCCGAGAAAGGAAGGTGTGGCCTATTGTATGCCGAGACCAAACAGCAAACTTTTTGTTTATAGGCGATAGTAACCATTTTTTATCAGATACACCGTCAAGTCATATTTAAGCGAAAGCCACGTAATTAATATAAAATTGCGGGCGCAGCTGTACAGGTAAATAAATACACGACAATACACTAACACAGTATAATAGATAGCTATATTGGGCCCTATATGGTAAAGTAAACAATATTAACAGGTTATGCCGTACAAATATAGGTGTAAACAGAGCTAGTTATGACATTATTTCTTATGTAAACAACCAGGTTATTGATAAGACAATATGAGTTCAAATCAATATTTGCACCGTGTTTCTAGGAAATATGACTAATATGTCCTACCATTTGGAGTACGAAATAGTAATAATTATTTTATATGACTTTTAACTTCAACTTTTTTACTTTAAGAAGAACATTTTTGATTTTTTCTCGAGACTACAGTATAGGGTTTTTAAAAAAGGTTATATTAAGATATCATCAGGGTTGGCAACAAGTATGTGACGCCCCTCCTGTTGCAGGCGCCCATAGAATACAATAACCGTTTACCATAAGACATTGTTAACTGCCTTCGTGGTATAAAAAAGTGGTTAATGTATATTTGAACTTTTTGATTCGACAAGTATTTATCTAGATTAAACAATATTATTATACTATTATTACTATACGTGTGAGGGTGGCATATCCTGGTGTTAAGATTGTTTTGACTACCATTATATGTGAAATCCTCACATAACTTGACTGCAAAGTGATATTATTTTCTTTTAATATAACCCAAACAAGAATTTGTATAAGTCAGAGAGTTCTACTAGGAATTCATCTTTACACCCGGACCTGCATATCAGTCGGCGACTTATAATTACGTAAGTACTTTAAGTATTTTAGTATTATAGTATTTCGAAAAATCATCATCAAATACAAACGATTAAATTTCGCGTTATGACCTAATCTTCATTTACAGATATAATTAGAATAAATAACGAGATGACTTTTAACGTAGTCGAATTGGCATCAAATCGAAATCACATCGAATAGCCTCGAAATCAACGTTACCTTACCATTTGACGTCTTTTGATGTAAATTTGATTCGATACATATTCGTTTCACTTGACATTTATTCGATGCTATTTAAATTTGTTCTCAACTCAATTGCGTCAGAAGTCACCCTGAAGATCAATGACGTACTATTGTATTTAATACGTCACTAATCTTGAGATATGCCAACTATTGAAGATCTAATCTCATGCACTCTCGAGGTTTAGCCTACTTGTATTTCTTTATCTTTGATCTCTCTACGTTGTAGATGTCAATCTAAGATGAAATACCCCGTATTTTATAGAAAACAAATAAATGGCAAGTAAACGTTAACGTAGGTCCAGTTGACAACAATTTTTTTATTATAACGTTGAAGATTTTTATTGGAATGATATTTGACAAGTAGATATTTATTTAACTGTAATAATAACTATCATGTAAAATTCGATTATATTTTAATTATTTATGTCTGTGCTTCTCACGACACATGTGAATCGCGCTCATCTATAAGGGCTCCTATTGAGCTCGTAACTAGTCGTATATCCTTAAATTTGAAGTTAACTTAAATAATTACAATACAGTATGACTCAAAAGATTCAGGCGCACCCGATAAAGGGCATATCTTCCTTTCCATTGACTTTTTCACTTATGTATATGCCAATATTATCTAATATTATTTACTAAAATTAATATTATTTGCCAATATTATTTACTAAATTTACATAAACATCGTCTACACAGTATTTAGCTGTTCTCATAATCTTTTAATATAAAAAAAATTGATAATGTAACAAATTTATTAACGAAAAAGTAGTTAAATAAAGTATTATTGAAAATTACGTGAATCTCGTAAGTTGGACCACTTGAAATAGGATAATAATTGTGGTCAACCTGAGTATTAAATTTTATTCATATACATCAGCGTAATTGAGCGTCGAACATCGATATCTAAAAACATTTAAAATTTACTCTTATAAAATAAGTTGATAAAAAAAAACAGCAAATAGGTTTCTATACCGCAGCATCTCTATAAAATAGACTCGTCATAGACGCGTTATTATCTATAAGTATTTGGAAAATAAGATTGTCTAATCGTTTCGTTAGATCTAGTAGCGTGATTATGTCACACAATGATAGATGTAGTAACGTGATTTTGTTTTCGTAATATAGCTTAAGATCTCACTGCTGAATTCTGCATGTATTAATGTTTTAATAAAACTTGGTTTAAATGAAAAATGAACAAACATATAACACAATTCACGTTGCCTGCTTTCAAGGTCACAAAATTTGATAAATTCATCACTCTATTTATAGGATTTACATTAACGGAAGTTTATTTATTTTCTATATATATGATAAGATGTGATTGTCTATGACAAGTGGCTCCAAATAAGGATAGTCAGCTTGTAAACTTTTATTCTAAATGACGGTGCTGTAGTTATAGGAAATTGATTCTTTTTGATAAAACCTACACTAAATGGAAGTTGATTCTTTTTTCAATATGATAATATAGGATTGTCTGTAAAAAAAAGTGGCCGTAAGTAATAGTTGCTACCTGATAACCTGGTCGACTCTAACTAAGAGTAAGCAACCTAAGTGCATTATGTTATATTTTCGCTCGATTGTAGGTAACTGATAGCAGGCAAGCCAGGTGTATTGTATTATACTTTCGCTCATCTTTCATGTAAACTATCATTAAAAAATTTACACGTGCAGAATTCAGTAGCGGGATTTTAGGCTAATAAGTATCCATGGTCACGTGCGTTTGAAACATTATATGCTTAATGATATGAACTTTGAGACAGTAATAAAATTCTTTATTTATCATTATGGTTGATATATCGTAGATACAGACATACAGACAGTAAACTCATTCCAAATCCCATAGGTAAACTGTGTTATTTATCTCTTTTGTTAGTATTGGATTTAAAATATCAAATATTTGTATTGTATATAATTTTTGGGAAATGAATAGAAATCATAATGTAACATTGAGTAATCCTTACTAATATTATAAATCTGAAAGTGAGTTAGACATCAGTCATATTTACGTCTTAAGGGCTTAACCAATTACTATGACACTTGGTATACAAATACTATATCTATATATATATATTAAAAACTTGTATTAAAGATCTTGGCCTTTACATAGACTCATCACTCAGTTGGTCACATGTCACATCAAGTTGCGGAGGTAAGTCGCTCAGTTGTTGCTACGCTACGCTCCTTATATCGCTTTAAAAACTTTTTGCCTATCGCTACAAAAACTGTGAACATATCCTGGTCACACGGACAAAGTCGCGGATAGAAGCTAGTCCTATAAATATTGTATCATCATTTTCCTACCCTTATCCCAATTATTTTTTAAGGTCGGCGTAATATGTTATTATTTATATTATAAAATAATTTGGCTTATAGTATTACGACCAGCCGCCCGTTTGACGTCAATTCTCTTTGGGAATGCATTTGTTAGTGGTTTCCACCACCTACAGTATGGAGGAAAGATTGAGGAAAAAAGGAAGGGAACGTTGGAAATACGTAAAGAAAATTGGTAAATGAGAGAAATAAGGATTTATGAGGGACAGTGCAGTTGCAGAAAGGACTGGGACGCTACAGCGCATAGGAAGGCCGGATACTCGTACGCCTTTATTCTAGAATCGAGCAGATTTCTAGAGAAGGACACCCCTGATGCCTATATGTATTGTATAAATGATATAAATGCGAAAATTTGTAAGGATGGTTGATTAGATAGATGGATGTTTGTTACTAAACAAATATAAATGGATTTTGCTATGAGGGTAGGTTATATTCTACTTTAACACACAGGCTGCTTTATACAGATACATTTATTATTTATTTATCAAATGATAAGAAAACATAAAGTGAAAAGATAAAACTATGGCGAGGTGTAGATGCTATGAAAAAAAAAGATTAATTATAATTGATCTACATTTGTTAAGTTTAAACGAAATTGAAATAAAATAACACAAATAGTTTTAAGAAAACAAAAAAGAAATATTAATGTAATCAATAAAAAAATTATATTAGTGTACACAATTTTTTTCTGGCTAAGGCAAAGGCTGAATTTATCAG